GCTATGGGGGACATTTGGTGTAACTCACGCGACGGATTTCAAGTCCCACCGCCTGTCGGACCTACTCAGACCTTGAGTTTACGCCACGGGGTCATCTGTTGAATTCTGAAGTGACTGAAGTTTCGCATGTCCCTGTGTCTCTGGCCTCCTCGACACCTAGTTTCATCTGTTCCTGTTTCTGCGCCCATCGAGGCATTCTAGGCACCAGTGCAAAGGTTCTTTTGGACGGCAGAACTAACACAAACACTTGGTACTTCTCTGATAACCTTGTCAGTGGTTTAGTCGAAGCATAAATTAATGCATGCCTTCAATTCTAGTGAAGTTTAGGCACGCACTTAGCAAAATTGTGGCCGGAGTTAGCATGTGGAAGGTGTCATGCCATGTCAACAATGATGATCGCATATCCGTTTTATCCACTAACTTAACAATGCAACGGAGTTTGCAGACATTTTGTGTATGGCGTTAGTCGAGATAATCGACGACATGTTCTTTTGTGTTTGAAGTTTTGTTCAACCAACCTACTTATGATGTGGTGATTTGTGAATGGCCGTGGTGCTAATTCAGGTGGTGTAAAGGTTGGCTCGGTGCAATTTCCTTATCTGGGTCAGACACAAGTAGCATCATTTGAATCAATTGTTCATTCGATGCCGGATAATGATTACTTGGAGGGTTTTCGGTCACCTGTTACAGTAGCTTAAGGCTCCTTTTTCTGTACCGACGTGTAAATAGCCCATTTTCACCTGACCGCTGAATGTCGGCTCCGGACAAATTTAATCCAAATATGAGCGGTGCTAAATGAAATGAGTTCACTCGAGTAAAGGTTGCAGTAAATTTTCACTATTGAGCTCCCGCGTACTTCAAAAACTGCAAGCTGTCTTACAGTTTTTTGATTAGCCTGACAGCTGTGCTTTTGTGCCTGAACAGCATGGTTGTTCCGTGTTTTACTCCGGACCAGCATTATCATTCACTGACTCAAAAATTTAACTGGGTCAAATTATTGCTACCAATAAATTTTCGTTGTATTTTCTGTGCGATGAGTTCTAGCATATGGTTATCATTTCATGGTGTTCTTAAGCATTTATGGTCCGCAAACTCCTCAGAACTAGTAAAATGTCACGTTTTGAAAACTCAATGGTCAGTTGAAATGAAAGCGTGGTTCCACCAACGATTTCGTTAATGAAGGACGTCACCGTCTTGCCGAAAGTTATCTCTAAGGAGAGGATGTTTACGATGTGTAGAGCATCCTATTTAATGACATACTAACATCCAGGTCAGAATTGTTTTTAATTTGAGGCTTAAACCTCTTGTACTTTGCCTATCAAAGTAGTACGTTGGTTTCATTTCTTTATTGAATAATGCGTGCCTTTAGTGGCTGTACGGAATGGTTTCCAGTCGACTATAGTTAAAAGGTAGGAATTATCATGGTAGTTTAGCCACACTAGTGTGTAAGTTTTTTAAGATTCTGGGATATTTTCGGTGACTCCGAAAGCTGCAGCTGAGAGTGCAATCTGTGCTCCAGTTTTTTTTTAAAATGTTTCCCGTATTTAATTATTCACTCACAGGTTTGGTAGTTCCTAACAATTCCTCACCTTATGCTCTCTATTGGTTTGTTGTGCAGGAGTTACAGAAGACTGTTATGGAAAAACTCAAACGAGAAACTTGGATGCGGAGGTGGCTCGAGGCACAGAAATCCATTGATTTACAGGTACAGCTATCAAGCATTGCTCGTTTAAATCGCTTAGCTAAATTCTAATAAAAATCCCACCACATTTTTATCCCATTTTAGATTGACATTCTTCAACGTCTTCTTAAACTGCTAAAGGGAGATGATGGCCTTTTAACACTTCTGCGCCACCTACACGATAGCGACATTCTGCCAGTTGAAAATCGCCTCCCAATTGAGGGAATAACCCTAGGCGAAAACCTTCCGTCTGAATTATGTGCCGCTCGTAAGGCTCAAGAAAATGTATGGTCGCTAGTGTTCGCAAACGCGTAAATCCTTAAATGGCTTGATGTAGTTTCACTTAAGAGGCATTTGGTGTAAAGACAGGTGTGTTTGCATTCCTCGTGGCTGTAATCTGAACTAATTGTCATGATAACAATGAACTCCAAGTGCTCTCGTGAACTTATTTTGGTAACATGTAATCAACTGGTCGCGGCCCCCTGCCCTTAGTAAAAGAAACCCAGTACTCTCTCTTTCATCATTAAGGCGTTGTTTAATGCCAAAAAGCACAAAACATAAATCTTGCCTCAATTGGAATCATAGAAGAGGATCATTTTGAGGTCTTGATCAGAAATCCACAACCCTCATCTCACCTAAAATGTCAGGTCACAAAAAAGGTCTAGTTTTTGGAAAAAATCCTCACTTTGTCTTACGATTTCTTTTTCTACATGCTCATGAAATCTGTACTTTTTATTCAACCTTTTGATTAGTTTGTCGCCAGTGTTACAGGCGATCTGGAAGTTCTAGGTGAAATTGCACAGCAGTTAGACGACCTGGCCTCCGTTGTCTTTTCGTCAACCGATTGGCTTGCAAATGAAGACGTTATTGCCAAGTTATCTGAGGCTGGCCATCTCTGTCTTTACTTAACGTCCCTTCGTGTGCACCGTCTGCAACAGGAAATGGCCCAAAAACTCAGCATTTTCTCGTCATAAGTACTGGACTTGACAAACAATTCAGTTTTGGCTATTTTTGTTTTTTTTGGAAACAAGATATAACGTTCATATTTTTTCAGATTTTGTCTTCTTACATGCCGGTACAATGACCAATTGGTGCTACCAAGCTTTTGTTGTGATTTGCCGCATAAAAACTCGTTTTCGGCCGGGTCCTGTGTGGTCCGAAAGAGGCAACGGTCCACAAACGGAATTGGCTGAAGTTCGTGCAAGTTGTTGTGTCTATTCGGTTTCGATTCAAGTGATGTTTCCCTATTGACAAACGTAACTGCTGGAGTAGATTTGGTCGTGGACATTCAAACACATTTAGTACCGACCCACAAACACTTGTGGGTGATAAAACCCTAATTCCATCAAAATTCATTTTTAATACTGCAAGTCTGTTGGAATGTTGGGAATTGCAGACAAAAATGGTACGTCTGAAATGTTTCGAAAGGGCCGTTAAAGTTGTTAGAAGTATAAATTTTGCAAAGGAATAAACAGTAGTAAATTCCCGAATTTGTACTCCCACTCAATGCTGTGAGAAATCTGTTGCCGGAGTGGGAATTGTATCAGTGGACTGTACTACCATAAACCTTAATTTTTGGGAAAAAAACCCTATTAAGCAAATGTTGATTTGTTATTTTGCTTTCATACGTCAATTTCGAAAATCTCAGTTCAATGGCAGCTAATTCTCATGAAAATCCAAGATGGAGTTAATGTGACAAAATTGTCAAGAATAGGTGCCACAGAATAGGTGACCCGTGTTCTGGTCTTCTTCTGTTTTTTTCATAACCTGTTCATTACCCTTTTAGTGTATTGTCAATTGTTAAATCTTGATGGAATTAGCCAACACCAAAATATGATCGTTAATTCAAGAACTAAATAAGAATGACTGATTTATCACTAGGCAGAAAGTGCAGCCAAGAAAAATTGAAATCTTGGATATTCCGCGAAGCTATTATTCGAAATTCGACAGTGTCTTTAGCAATTTAAATGGAACTTCTTCCAATCGCAAGCATTTTACCACCAGTTCCTTAACCACAGTCACGGGAGCTTCGAATTCCCCAGCAATACTCAGATGGGTAGAGGAGACGGTTCTGTAATTCTGGAGCGGTTTTTAATGCGCTCACATTCTACTCTATTTGGTTTCACCAGGATTTTATTTTATAAATTTAAAGGTTCAAGCAGGTGCCAGCAAGACGCCGGTATTTTCAAACCTTTGGAAATGTGACATTCCTGCTATGTCTAATTATTTCGAATACGCCGATAAAAGCTATTTCTGAACGTTCTAAAATTGGGTAATAGCGTGGAATGTGCCCATTAGAATTTTATCGCCAAGTTAGGCAGCGATGCTCCGTGTAAACCAACAATGAAAGGGGCACCGAAAGGAGACTTCTCTATGCATCTGTGGAAGTAACGTCAACTTCCGCATAATTTGGAATGTTTTACAAAACCATCAGAACTTATATCAAAAATGTGCGGAAGGCCAAGCTGCTCGAAAAAAACTGCACTACAGAATGCTACAGGATCACTGGTCCATTATTCTTGAAAGATCGCACAAAAATGACTGCAGCTAAAAACTGCTACGAGAACCCGTCAAATTGGGCTTCACAATAACCAATAGGTGTAAATTAACTCACCATCTAGATATTTTTAAAGAATTCGTTGTTTTTCAATTAAAACCTAAGGCTTAGCCGAAAATAAACATTCCCAATTCCCGAAATTCCAACCAAAATCACGCTTTCTGGGAAATTGATTTTGGCTGGTTCACGGATGGGTTAACACATGCAATCAGCCTCGTGTCTAAATGAGGCAGATAGGCAACTTTTGTACATTTGATCGGATCATCAGATAGACCGAATAGCGTTTTTAAAATTTCGCAAAACTGTACTGTAAGAACTTGTGTAACGCAACGACCGAGGCCCATGATTATTATTAATCGGCAGGTGTTTCAAAAGTGTAAAAAGCATTTATTTTACAAAGGAGGCTGCCGAGATCAGATTTAATCTTCCGACTGCTTTCACGAGGCAGTCTATTTCAGAACCCTCTGATTTGAGCACCTTTGCCAGATGTTCAACCTGCGTGGGCGAAAGGGTCGGCTGCGACTCAATACCGAGCCGTCCCTCAAATTGACGAATAGCGGAGGCACGTCGATGCTCTCCTAAACGAATTGCGAGCTGTTCATACTGCAGGCGGATGTTTTCCAACCAGACCAATAGACCTGACTTTAGGCGGTCCCTAAGGTTTCGAACCTGGTTTCCCATTTCCACCTCAGCGTCAGTCAAACCAGAGTCAATACCTGGAACAAACAAGTAAGCGTAACTTCGAAGTTTTACATCGAATTAATATCATTCCAGTGAACACAAATAACCTTAAAAAGTGATGCTAATTTAGGTTTGTTGCAGACAGGAACAAAGAGGCCACAATAAAGCAAAGGATTTATATTTCATTGGAATGTGGCTCCAACCGTTTTTAAAGAACAAAGAGTGCAGAAATTCTATATTAACACTGAGTTGTCATTGTTTCGCTGATCTTGGACTGTTTTTATGATAAAAATAACTCACTAAAGACGACGTAAATGCAGAATCGGAGCATAAAATGAAGAATTATTCCTGAACTAAAATATTTTATGCAAAAACGACTACTTTATTTGCGTGAGACTTATGGAAATAGGAACAACAAATACTTCAGAGACAATAATGGCGGAAAGAAATTACAAACTCACTGTAGATGCGTCTTGCGAGTTCTGACAAACGATGGTTGAGTGTCTCATGGCGTTCAAGAACACGTGAGTGCCTGTCAGTAAGTTCGGCAGCTCGAGTGTGCAGCATGTCCCGCTCCGCGGCCAGGAAAGCCACCTCCTCCGATTGGGCCGCTAACTGGCCCTCCACGTAGTCAGCGAACTCGCACACCGAGGATGAAAGACCCGCTAAGCGACTCAGTTGGGAGGTACGAAGAACATCGGTCGCCTAATAGCAAAATACATAAGCAGAATTGGTCGTGATGAGAAGCAGAATATCCAAATCAGACTTACACAGAACTGTAGACAAGTGTGGAACTCAAAAAAACCGCCAGGTAGGATGACTTAGTGAGGTGTAAATGGTTCAACATGTTATGAATCCTGTTTGAAAAACCCACAAGAGGCAAACGACTCTACTGCAGAGGACCAAAAGTTTAAGTATAGCTTAAACTCAAGAAAGTAAAAAGGGATTTGGTGGCACTTCCAGAAACCCAAGAAAGCATTACGTACAGACGAGAGGTTTAACCGAAAACTGCCTAAGCCACCGGAATGAATGACAAAGTGGTACATGATCAGTATTCACCGCTCCCACGGTTGCAACTGCCAGCCGAAACACTTTGATCGAAATGTATTTTCGGAAAAATAATGCCTGGAATACAAGTTCAACTGGAAATGACTAATAATAACATCAATTATGTACGAATTTTCATAAGAAATTGTCCTGAGTACTTCAGCAATCGTATACAGGGTATCATGTGTAGGGAATAAGGTATTGCCTTATTGGTGCACATGTTTGGTTTTTCAATATTGACAGGATCGAACTCACATTCAGGAAAAAGCGGAAAAAATCTGCTTCAGTAATGACCGTCTCCTCGTCGTGAGAAGACATAATTGGCAGCCAAGAGGATCTCGTTACCAAGAGGCTGCGACTGCAGGTTGCCACAAAATCAGAATCTTTTGGGCTGAAAAGGCAATAAATTTATGTACGGTTGTGTCATTGCGAGTATTTGAGACATATACTAGAGGACTACTTTAGTCTATACTTGGTAACAATCAACGTTGCGACAATTTTTTTTGTTGACTGACACAAGTTATCGAATGGTACAGTTCGGCTAAACAACGGATGCGACCACTGTAACATCTGACAAAAAGGATGAGCATTATGTTGCAAGAGGCCAATGTGATGCAGCTTTCACTGATGTTAATAAAAATTGAAACTTATGGTAAATAAAACTTACCCTATTAGTTCACTGATTTTACAGTTTTAATTACAGATCTACAAAGTGTACACAGAGTGCTCGTGTTGACACAAAAATAGTAGGTTTTGTTGAAATACCCCCAAAGATAGCTTAGTCTGGGCTGTGGCTAGGTTGTGTGGTGTACGTGAAACCCCATTGCTTTGGCACAAAAGAAAGATAATGCACTTACGGACACAAAGGTGGTCTGGGTAAAAGACGGGAGTCACATTTTCCATCGCAATTAAAGTCGCCCTGACCCGAACTTGGGCAACAGATATCAGAGTTGCATTGCCGTAAAGTGGAAAGCTGAGAGGGGATGGGGACTGTCACTAACTCAGGCTTCGATGAAAAGATGACAATGACGGCATGAGGGGAGTTGGGATCAACAGTAGCGGTCTCATTTGAAGATGGTGGCGCTCGGTGGGGCAAAAGACCAATCACTACTCGCTCCTTCACCACACCGTCGTAGGCCTGGGGGTGTAGACTACGCGACAGCAAAAGGTACTCAGTTGAGCAAGTGTTCGTTCTTAGTGCTTGCAGCAAATCTGAATTTAAAAGGTTTATGCTTTAATAGTTAATGAGGACGATATCTAGGTTAGTTATTAGTGCTAGAGCAGTTTTGTGCTTTGGGCGATATTTCAATTTTAGGCTTCAAGTTGAATGAGTAATGAAACAAACACAACTATTCACTATAATAGCGTCTTTTAGGCAATTGCATGAAAACCACATGATTATTTGCGAATTAATCAAATTTGTGAAAGTATTTGCAAAACTTACTTGCATTGGAATAATCGCTGGAAGCTATGGAAGAGCACGCACCACGAAATTGGTCCAACCAGGAAACTCGCACATGATGAATTCCGAAGTTGTGCAAGCAAAAGTAGCTGTTCATTATTGAACACGGCTGATAATCGTCCGGATCGGACCAAATATAAGTTGATGGAACCAATGCAATATCTAGACCACTGAAGTCTAGGCCGTATTCGTCATTACGTTTATCATTCAAGTTAACTGAAGTATTTAAAGACTTTCCGAGTGCTGGAAGCTCTAGGTCTACGCTATCGACGATGAGCAATACTGGAACGCTACGCCCTACAAAATATCAAGTAAAATCAATCTAGCTGAAAATTATGACAATCAGATCTGGATCGGTAATACTACTTACAATAAATCCGCAACTGCTAGCAATATCGAACCATACCATTATTCTGGCTTTTTCACATAAAAATGCATAAAAAACTCCACTTACACTTGAGAGCAATGTCGCAGATGGAATCAATACCGCAGATGAATTCTCTAGCTTATTCTTACAACATTATTCGAACGTGAAAGCATGATGGACAATATAATTTCATTCGAGATACAAACTAATGTGATATTAATTAAAATTCTCTTGCTTTAATATTCAGCAAGCACCAAAACAGTAACCGCTTAACATATCAGAAGTAAACCAAATTTGACACTTCGCCCCTTTGTATAGCAGATGCGAGTCCCAAGAAAGCGCACCCACGATCTACTTACGGTGATAGCACTAATCAACGATTTCAGAAGGGGTATTACACTGCCAAAAGGTCGACTACTGACATTGCTGAACCTCGCGTACAGGCATAGATACTTAAATTAGGAGACCTCTTATTAGGTCAATCTTTGTAGTACTAATCTACTAGGATTACAAACTTATCGACTGAGGCATTCCCGAAGCATCATTTAAGTGACAGTAGCCTTGATTTGGATCCCATCCACTAGGGTACCACCAAACGTAATCGGGGTGTTAACCCAAATTTCTTATGAAATGTAAAAATAATGGCGACACCTTAGCCATGCTATAGCGGTCTACATGGCTCCAAGAATTTATGGAATCGCTTTAAATTCTGCAATTCTTTTAACTTTGTTTCGTCATACAAGTAGTTTACCAAAATATAAGTAGACCGACTAAAATCGTACACCAAACCAGAAAAGATCAACCATTAAAAACTAACGTATGAGTAAATTGGATGGATTATTGTCAAGACCCACCTTGAGGACGGGAGTTAGATTGTAGCAGAACATTTGTTGGAACGTGCAAGCAGACACCGTGAAATATTCGGCCTACACGATTAGCAAAGCAAATAACATCAGGTTGGTATTGTTCTTTTTCTGAGCGAAGACAAATCAATTTGAGGAAGTCAAACGAATAATAGTCCTCGTTAGCAGGAAGAATGCGCACAAAACGAACCAGTGGTTGATTTATGGATGCTTGTGAGACACTCACCAAAATGATATCACCTATCCAAAATAGGAGGAGGGTTGAATTAGCCCGTAGTAGCAATTGATGAAAATAATGCTATTTAGGGTGATGGGTTACCATTTTCACAAAGAACATAAATTGGTACATCAAGGGGTACATCATGTGAAACCCGCACCCCTCCATGGAATAACGACGACCCAAAGTCAAAGTCACTGCATACGGCACCCATCGCAACGCTTAGGTTAAGATTCTGTGAGAGTTTGCCTTGAACAGTGCTGCAATTTTCTCCAGCATCGTTTTCAGGGGGCTCAAGGACGTGAACGATAAGTTCAGTCTCAAACTCAGGGGCTCCCCCAGGGGCAAATTTGCAGCGACAAAATATAAGTTTGCCATCTTTCGTCAGGAGAACAAGAATGTTGTGAATTTTCGGATGCCACCGAGCAGAAACGAGAGGGGAAACACTTGCGCACTCCCCAGATAAAGAATCGTATGCAGTCGCAAGTTTTGCGATTATTTTTTCCTATTTCACTAAAAAAGAAAACCAAAACAATATACTTGATTCGACCGCAGAAGAGACTTCTTTTTAGAAACGTCCACGACATGGGCAGATGTTTCAGTAAAAATGGCCAAAAGACAACCATCCGGAGATATCAACAACGACGTTGGATTCGAAAACGGTTGTGGTGTAAGAAAAAGAGTTTTCCGATTTAAACTGTGATCGGATGACAACAGATGAATTTGACACGTTTTAGCATCAAGAATAAAAATCCGATCATGTTTATCTAAAAACTCTATTAATAAAAAGAAAAGTATTACTAGTACCATCACTGCATTTGTGCTTCTTAAAATGAATAACTTTCGAAGTAAGTGAGGATGTTAACACTTGTGACTTCATATCCAAATCAGACAAAACATTCGAAATAAGAGGCTCCATCCTGATCCATAAATGAATGGTCAAACTTAAAGCAAGTGCGTTTTAAAAACTGACGCAAAAAAAATAAGCAAATAAAACAAATTCGAAGATCAATGCAAAAACCAAGCAATGCGTGTGCACAAAAACACATTAATTTGTTGAAAACATTTCCGAAAACTACAAAACGGCATCCCATTTTATCAGAAAAAACTATAGCAGTTTATTTATTGCAAAGGAAGATAATAAAAAAAAGGAGGTCATTAAAATGATAAAGAAACAACTTTAAAAAAAGCCCAAAATTCTCTATTAGGCCTTGCGATATCTGACCTCAGAAAATCCACTAGCTCGTTCACGATTCGAGTGAGAGGCCTCGCGTCATCAAGTAAAACGACACGGATGGCCGACGCCTACATCCACAAAATAAAAATCTTTTAAACGCGGCTTGATGATGAATAAGTCTTAGCTAGTTAGTGGAATTAGTAATTACTTTCACAAAATGTGAAAAATTGTCACTTTTGCTTGTATTGAGATTTGAATATATTTGATTTGAGGATGTGAAGTGTTCACAGATAGGTTGGCTTATCGTGGTGCCCATGAGAAAGCAACTGCTGCATTTGCGTATCCGTATGTCGACGCGACCCCAAGGGCAACATGTTGTGCTTTAATGATAGTTTGATAGTTTAATTGAAACATAGGCGTCGTCAAGTGCCTTTCACTGCAATGACACAGTTAGTCATCTCTTGAACACTAATGAACACGGGTAGTTGTAAAATGTGTGGTGATACCATGAGATGACCAGGTTCGTGCCAGATGAGGAGGCATGGTTGTTTCATACTTGATGGTTATCAACCAAGCCGTGTTATGCACTTGATTCAGGGGCGTAAAGAAGATGGTTCTTTATGCAAGCATTGATATGCAAATTCAGGCAGCTGCCCGCATTGTTTCGTGAACGGTTCACTGGCATTTGTGATGCTATAAAGGGCGAATTTTGCCTAAATCCAAAATAACACTTCTCTTATCACTGTTCCCGTGCTGTGATCAAATAGACTTTCAACTTCTCGCAGGTCCCTGTGTATCGAAGTATTTATAGATTTTGACATATGCTTCGCAATCGTCATTGTGGTAAATCGTGGGGATGTCAATTGACAGCAGTTGAAGCACTTAGTACGGAATTGGCGTCCGTCTGCATAGCATTTACGGGTGTGTGTTATTCAAGTGAAATATGATATTGCGTTTTTGATCATTTTTGGGTACTAATAAGTACTTCGTTATTTTACGCTCATTCGGCTGATTCGTGCGTTTTTATTCATTGCACTTTTCCCGTACAGGGATATTTCGCCACAACCTAAGAGTCAAATGTCACCATTTCGATTAATAACGGATTTGTCTCTATCGAAACGCGATTTCACCAGACTTGTCCCCATAAAACAGCAGTTCTCAGCTGAGGACAAGCAATTGTGCGAGACACGTACTTACACGGAAACGCGTCAATTCCTACTAGGCGCTCGTCAGTTGGCGAAAATCGCGCGAATCACTAGCCAGGGGTCAGCACGAACGCACTATGTGTAGTTATCTGAATTGTGCCGTCATGCCACTGTGCGAACGCTGCTAGATGACTCACTGTCTGTTTCCTTCTTTTGCCTGGTCCAATTGGTAGTAAAATGCTGGTGTCAAATGACTTTTCAACATTTTTGATTCCGTGGACAGCCATGCAAGACTATCGGATAACAAGAGGTTTATTAACTTATCTTGTGGGTTATAAAGCCTGGTAGTTTCTGGTACCTGCACATATTAGTAATCTGTGATCAACATGTCTGGCTCTAGGTTGTTTTTGCAGACTGGTCGTGGAGAAGTGGAAAAGGCTGCTTCATTATTTTTCGCAAGTGCACAATTAAGCCTAACTCCCGCTCGTTCCGACTTTCGAGCAGTCGACACGAACCCACCTCAAGGCAAACGTTAAATTTGGTGCTTCTGCGCAACTGTTACTTGTTCCGTAAAATCACTTTTCAAGGGAAGGCGGTTTTAATGTACTTTTGGAGGGCATTCCTGTCATCCAGACTAATTTAAATCTAACACGTATTCTAAATGCCTTAACAACTGCTTGTGTGTTCATTAACTGTAAACGCATTGAGTTGAGGGATAAATCCGCTTTGTTTCAAACGTTTACCAGCAATAAAACCAGACAAATCAATTTTGCATTTCTTGTTACCTCTTGCGATATTGCCCTCCTCCACCGCTCCAGCAGTCTATTGATTCCATCAAAGTGGTTGCCAGGCTAAATCATGAGGTCTCCATTGGCGTCGGATGTTGTTTCGCGCATTCAACATTGAAGTGAGCAAAAACGTGATGATTTGACAAAACGAGGTCTGCGTCGTACAGAAGACGCGTCAAAACCTCTCGCTCGAGTACCGAGATGACCATTTGGTTAAGGTTTGTGAGATCAGGCGTTGTTATTCGGCAAAATCACTTGAAAATGGCGGTGAGGTCGTTCATGTTTACCATCCCTGTTGCGACACTTACGTGTAACTTCGTAGATTGTCCGGTCGAGACTGTAACCTGTGCGTCTTAAATGTGAACCTGTTGCGATGAGTTTGGTCGTTACAGACGTATGTTTGCATGCTCATGGCGTTCTAGCAGTCTAATTAAGAAGTCAAGTTATGGGAAACGCCAGCCAGTGCCTATCATGGCAGTTGGTGTCGCAACGTAAACCGTGGCCCATAATTAATTGGTGCATTCGGCGATGAACCTTGAGAGTTGCAAATGATATTCGATGGCGTCTCTAAAGTTATTCACGAGGAGCTAACAGGAGCTTTTTTTACATTGTTGATCTACAGTTGGAGTCCACCGAATGAATTTGCACCCTTGGTTTTGTATGAAACAGTAATACAGTCACCAAGTCTGGCATTTTCTCTATGTGTAACTCCCTCCAAACATTCTCATTCTACACACCGCAAATCGCCACAGAAATCGATTAGTCATCTCCAAGCACTAGTAATTTTTATTCTCTGTCGTGTTTTTGCATATTTTCTATTCTAGGATCGCCTTGTAGTGGTTCTAATTGAATTTTCCAATTTTGAATACATATAGTTTGGCGAAAGGTTTGTCTAAGGTACCTATGTCGTGTCACTTCTGTATGCGTTCGAATTTTTTTGGAAATGTGTATACTGTCAAATGTCTTGATTTTTAAAGCTTGTTAGTTGTTAGGTTGGTCCATGTGTTTGGAAGAATTTGCTTACTGAGGAAATCGTTGAAGCATTTCCTGTAGAACCTAGGGTTATATTTCGCAATTTGTGGAAATTTTCTGTTTGTTCTTAACTTGAAAGAGATTTGTCGAACTTGAATCTCAACCAAGTTAGAATCCTTGTTGGTGCCTTTAATTACCCTATCTGCTATCCGGCCATTCGGCCTATGTCTGTGTACTGTAGGTGCACTTTGTAATGAAAATTTTAATGGTTTTCATATTCTGATTTGCTCAATCGTTTTTTAGTTCTAAGTTGCCTATGTGGGTTTTTTTATAATCTTCGATTTGTGTAGATAGGTTTCAAGAAAAATAAGATATCGACAGTTAAACGTCTGTGATTGGGCTTTTCAAGCACAATTGTTTCCTGCTATTGGTGCTCCTAATTTGCTCTCATTAGCTTATCATGAGTTTCTGCTTACCGCATCGTCTGTGCTACTGTTTGACTTATCGTCTGCTGTTGGTGTGGTTAGCGCAAGCACGCGCTTTTAGAAAATGCCGACGTCTTTCACAAAATGTCCGACCCCACACCCGCTACCAAACTCTCAAACCTACGAATCACCGATGGCACCGTTCCCACCTCTGCTCCTCCACCAATTACCTCTCGTGCGTCGCAATCCTATTGTAGCGTCGATGACATCCTCAGTTCTGGTAGGTCCGCCTTTTTTGGATAATCTTTGTCTCCATCTGTTCTTGGTCACAAATCGTAGACAAATCTCGAATCCCTGATTCTTGCTTAAGAGGCATTGATTGAATGTGAACATTTCTAAGCAAAACGTGAACTTCCCTTCTGTCTAGTTGTTGAACTCATTTTTACTGTCCGACCAGCAGTATATGCTGTTAACGTGCTCCATAATTAGTCAAGCATGGTCCGTTTTTGGATATTGAGTTTAAATTGGCTCATTGAGTCCTAATTCTCTCATTTGTGATTGTACTTGAATCCAACCAGTGATTGAGATGTGATTTTTCTGGGTCGTGGATCATGTCCCCTGGCATGCAATGTTAATAATTCCGGGTAGGGTGTTTGTTACTTTAGGGGACTTGTGGAAGTGTCTCGACGTTCTTTTGCCATTCCGGCACGTCTTAGGCTTCGAAGCCGTGATCTCTGCTCTTGGACTGATAGTACTCAAATCATGTTTTGACTTTACACGCGTAAATTTCGATCACCTGTGATTTGAGCACTTGGTGAAAAGGAACCGAAAAAGGCATGATCTCCCTCAATTTTCCATCTTCAGCATTTTGGCTCGATATCGAATTGATGTAGAATATATTTGTCTTACATAATACAAGGCACTCGAATTCAATCCTATATCTGGTGCGGGACATAATTTGCTGTTATTTTGCGATCGCCTGCAAGTATTCAATGTTTTATTGGGCGCCAATGTCACCCAGCATAACTGTCTGCCGTTAACGTGTCCCATTCGGTCGAAGCAATGCAAGGAAAAGCATATGTATTAAGACCAAAGGACACTTCATTCACCAACGCGCCCTGGGAAATCGAAACCGGGAAATGGAATTTAAGCGTTGAAGCGAACGCGATGGTCTTAACAAAAATTAGTTTTATTGGTTGTTGATGTCGCTAGATATTTTAACAACATGTAAAAATCTCAGTTAAAATATCAGACTTTCGAAAAGGCCTTCATATAACCAATAAGTGTCAGGAAATATCGGATGGCATTCCCCCTTATGAAAAAACTACGTCCAAATTTTAGTACTTCAATTTGATGTTGGATTTAATCAACGGCTGATACTCTCACATTGACCGTCGTGCTTTGCAATAATTACGTGGGAATGCTGTTAATATGCATAATTGAATAAAACGGAAATTTCCTTATTTTTTGGTCATTCGATTCTTTCATTTAATCAGTTTTTATCTTTGCATTGAAGTTCTGCGTAAGCTTAAAGCACGCTTTGCTGTAAAGTTGTAAAGCCCGTTAGATCCCACTTTCGTAATCAAAAATCACGTTAAGTGTTTCTTCCACATTTAGTGTAGCAAGAAGAAAAGCCGTATTTCGACTATTTCAATGGTAGCGTATCTTAGATATCTTGAACGTCCCAAATTATTTCATTGGTTATTTGAAAATTGACTCAACTTGGTTAAGTGCACTTCAGTAGGTTCCATCTCCTTTTGTGTGAGGTGTTTATTGCGTTGGGGCTTTCTGCATGAATTTTGGCCCTTATGGTAGCGTGCGAGTTTCGTCTGCTAAAATCTGTTTACCGCGAGGCCGTCCTCAACTGATGCAAATGAAGTTATTCACTTCCTCCGCTGTGGTCTCTTTAGGCCTTGTACTTAAAATTCCATTACGTAACCCGCGTTATCTGAAACCCAGTTAGCACCTCTTGTTGTCCACATATTAGCTTTCATTCATTCATTCAAATCACCGGTTAAAACGCTTGCTACTTGGTTTCGCATGGACGATTTGCTGTTGTCCTGATATTCTTATGCACTACGTCAGTGGTGTCAGCTCCCAAAATCCAGTTTTAATCTTGCACTATCAACAATGCGCCGTTGTTGTTTGGTTCGGCCTTTGCAAATGGTAGAATCCGGAATCTTGACACTATTTGTTATTTAAAATTTGTTCTTTTATGAAGTTATGGCATATGTTGGTTTGCAGTTAGCTAATTAGAGAAGTTAAGCTAAACATAGCCTTAAAAATGAAAGAATGTGTTTTCTTTAAATACTTATTGGTGGAAGTACATTAAGTGTTTCAAATCATCCAGCTTTATTGTATGGCTCCATGGAAATTGCTGTCACGCCTGAGTTTTTATGTTAATTCGTTATGCATTATGTAGGCCCAATGAACCGCAACCCACATGCATTTTAAGCTAGGGAATCCCCTTGTAGGCATTCCACCACTCATTTTAGCCACTCAGGCAAGTAACCAAAAGCTCCAATTATCATTTCACATTGGGGCACAACATGTAATGCGTTCTTGGTATGTTGACTACTCTTGCTATTTTTACTTTGCGTAGATTCGTGCAGTGGATTAATAAATCCAGATACGTATATTTGTGTTGCTGAATGATTACCATCCAAAAACATTCATGACTGTTTGTTCTCTTTGGTGTTTTTCGTATATTGGCTCTGGCGCGTAAATCGAGCGAAGCTTTTTTCCTTTTTTGGGTTGTTGCGGGCTGTACGATTTTGGTTGTTATCATCGACTTTTATCCATACTTTAAGAAGTTAGTGCTTTGTTAGTCATCTGTGTAGAATCCCATTTCGGCATAGAACATACCTCCTTGTGTGCTTTCCTTGCATGTAATCATTTCGAAATATCAAGCGCTGGCAAGGGAACTAAATGTCAGGTGCCTTTGGTTATCCTGGTTTTATGTTTGGTATTAGGCGATATTACTCACACTTGTGACAGCCCACAAACGTTTTTTGTCCTCGATTACCAGAACTGATCTCAACCCGGTTATTGTGGCTTTATTGCTCACAAAGAAGGCCATTTGTCATTTAAATGTTTCGTGTGCGGGTTTTAGGCGCTTTATTTATATGGAGAATGTTTGAGACGATAATATCGAATTCGGGACCCTCGTTCATATTTATTGAACCTATCTTTTGTGGTGATTTTTTTATAATCCTGATACCACAGGAACGAAGTCTAGGTGTGCCTTCACTGAAACGTATTAATAGTTATAAATGATCGAATTCTCCGGTTCATTTGTTTGGAAGACGTTTTTCTACTATCTAAAGGTACTTGAAATTGGGGCAGTATTAAAATAAAAGCCATTATTCTAATGGACACTTATCTGAGTGATATTTGCGTTTGCAAACTTAAAGCTGTTCGCAGTAGAACCTGAATTTGACAACCCCCTAATCAGACTATATTTCTTTCCACTGTTGAGACCATCTAAACACCCGATAAAGTCATCACTCGTTGCTATCTTGATAGATTCTCGATCGACTTCATTGTTTTTTCCTGGCTGCTTGCACAGGTTGTAGAAGACCTATAAACATACAGTTGATTTCTTCTTTAGTTCCCCACATAGGTTCTAGCCAAGTCTCTCCACAGCCCTCAACCGGGGGAGGGAGCGCAGATCGGGCTATCTTCCGACCTTCCCTCACCTCCTCAACAGTTGATCCAGTCCCATCACCTAACGAAGTCCTTGCTCCTAATCAACAGCAGTCTATGTATCAAAGCGGTTTAGTGTGTCCCTCTCGTGTTTCTGAGAAGATCCAACAACTTGTTAACACTCTTAAGCGACCCAAACGTCGGCCTCTACCAGAGTACTTTATTGACGAGGATGACCAGATTTTCGTTCAACCCGTTGTCGACCCCAACAGGCCGAAACCCCTCGGAGCGCCGACTGAACCTCTTGTGGGTGAGAAGTTAATCGTAAGTTAAGGCTAGTTTAACGTGCAATCAGGCGACGGGTGTCTAAGGCCCTAGGATCAATTATGCATATATCTAAATCCACTCAGAATGCATCAAGTGGTAATGTAAATTTCCGGATTTCGGCGCAAAGTCACGTAATTTGAGAAATTTTACTGAAACATCCTCACCCCACATATTTTCATGTTTTACACCAGTTAAGCCGCCACTTTTTTTTGGTAAATGTTCATCAAAAATCTGTTAATGACCTACACATTATGGTTATTTGCTAATGAAGTGCATTATCTTCATGAGTAGCAGTTGTAGCATTTTTCTACGTATAACCATTTTTGTGTCCCCAGTATATTTAGCCAGCAAGTGCAACTTTTTTTTATCGTTTTGAAAAGTGAAGTGTTAGGAGCGAGTGTGGTCTCCTTGTCTCACCCAAATGCTATACTGAACCTTGGTTTATCTCTTACCTGTCTGTTTAATTGTCTAAGGTAAAAGCCAAAGTCGCGCCTTGTGTTGGTTGTTTTTAATTTTGAGGTGTTATTCTGGAATCATTTTGGTTCTGCACACATTGCTTGTGGCCGTTTTTCTTTGTGACTATATGAGACGCAAAAATGCTCATTTTCATAATCGCTGACTTGCGTAAAGCAGTGGAAACGGTAATTATAAACATTTGCCATAAAAGTGAGCAGATTAATGCGTTTTTCATCTGTCAGGTTCCTTCGGGTCTCCCACGAAACATAGAATCGGCCTTACAGAGGTACGCCGGCGTAATCGGCAAGACGCCCGCTCTCACCTGTTTAGAGCCTTCTGGACGTTCCACACAGGTCCTCTCCTACGCGAAACTCCTACAAGTAAGTTTTCTTTTATTTGACACCTGTTCTAGTCTTAAATCGGTTTGTGGTGAAGATTCACCTAAATTGTCGAGCAACTACAGAACACCCTTAGATTTGTGGGTGTGCGTGTTTGTTCATGATCGAATAAGGTGCGTTAAAATACCTACTCACAACTCTTACGCATTTTTTTTTCTGTCAGCAATCTTTGGGTTTGGTTTTGCGGCGATGGCTCGTTATTACCATGTCAAACGGAGGCACTTTACATTTTCTTTCAGCGTTCCAACCGCATTGCTTTCCTTTTACTGAATAAACTGGGCCATCGAGGCGGACAAAGCCTTAAACCGCGAGACCGGGTGGCGCTGGTCTACACTAGCAACGACCCCATCTCCTTCCTTTTGGCCTTCTATGGCTGCCTTCTGGCTAGTGTTATTCCTATTGCAATTGAGGTCCCAACCGCTAAAAAGGTAACCTGAACCAGAAGTTTCCTTATGCTAAAATTTGTGTGTAAAGACTTCTTCTATTACTTAACCAATGCTGTAGTGCAAGTGTCACTTATTTGTTTCTGAATATCAAAATTGGTCCATTAAAAATGTAAGACCAGATATATCTCCAATGGCAGTAAGCCCCTACATCTGGCATTAACTCCTGTCCGGAATCGTTGTAGATCTACATTTCGTTCCGAAGTGGTTAGCAGTTCCAAGCTTACGATTAAGAGGGTTGCGTTGTACTTCAAAAGTATTTGTGTCTATCATGCGCCCAACATTTACTGGATTACTATCTGTCGAAGTTTGCAGTTCCGGTAGACCTCTGACCCACGCGTGCATCACGTCTGCTGCGTTGTTGCTCTTCCTACCTCACCTCTACTGTGCCTACTGTATTTGTTATTTAGCTGGGAGATCGCGCCAAATTCCATGCATGAATAGTAATTTATGTCTCCTGAGCGTGCTTGATTGCGAATTCCCCTTTTTGTGAGGGTGTCGTTTCTCGTGGCTTTGTGCGTGCTTCGGTAACGTGGGGCACTTACTTTTCTTTCGTTTTATTGGGCGTTTTTTGAGGGGTCCGAACTTTTGACTTGACTCATTTTCCTGGCATCTGCTTTCAAAATATATTTTTAAGGCAATGCATGCATTCTTCAATAAGCCTTGCATTTAAGCACATTTGGAATCTTTGATTTCCTAAATACGATTTATCACTCCTAGTGCTGGTGCAACTTGTGTGTGGCTCCATGCCATCAACAGCAGACGTTCGTAATTTTTGATTCCTCGTGTTTGATACTATCGCAAACTCTATGCCCACCTTAAGCTCCTCTCCCCCCTACTTTTTTTAGGATAGTGCCTGCCAGAATATGGGCTTCCTTCTAAGCAGCCAAGATGCGCATGTAGCCCTAACCAATGACCAAGTGTACAAGTCTCTTCCGAGAACTGCCTCTGGCGAAATTGCCCCTATTCCCGGATGGCCACAGCATCTCATCTGGATTAACACTGATCACCATGGTGGAGGAAGCGGAAAAAAAGTTCCCAAGGACTGGTGTCTTCCTGAACGTCTTCCACCGGAGGAAACTATTTACATCGAGGTTAGGTGTTACGTCATTCCCCTCACGTGTCAATGTACTGACGCGACGCCCCGTTATTTGTGTTATTAAAACTGGGCAAGCAATGCTGCCCATTAATTGACACATCGAATTAGTATTCCTGATATCGGCTTTTTACGGTAGAGTAAAAGTTTCTATTCTGTTTTTTGAGCTGCAAGTATACTCTTCCAATACTGGTTGTAACATCCACATTTGTTATTAAGTCGTTTCAAATCAGTCAATATTCTTATTGTCGATTTTGCCACTTTAATACGGAATTACGAAGTAAATCTATCCGTTGTTGGTGACGTTTTAAGCACATTACTTGATCAAAGCCAACGCTAACAGCGAGTGTGTGGACAGATAGTGGGTAACTTTTGCATTCTTTAATCAGTGCGGTGAAAATAAGGGCAATCAAAGATTCATTCCCGTGCTTTCCCTGTGTAAAGCGGATTTCTTTGTGTGTAACGCTACTAAATGTGATGATAATTGGGTCTTCTAAAAATACGTCAAATTAGGCTTCTGGGAATGTGCCCTGCACCGATTAATTAAAGCGTCATCTTTCACTCGAGGACAGATCAAAAGTCACTCAAGTAAGTTTAGCAGCTCAGTTAGTCCATCACCTACTCATAGTTTTTATCTGGACTCACTGCAACCTTCCGGGGTGTGCCTCTGAGCTGTGTGTAGGCAGCTTGGTGGACCAGGTTGACCGGTTGGTTTTGATTCAAAACTGCCAACCTTAAGCAAATCCAATAGCCACGTTGTTTCGAAGACGGTATGATCCTGTTAATATGTTTATGCTCACTTGTAGTGTCTTTCATTCGTAATTAAACGTTAGGAGCGATTTTGCTCTAAATTCTGAAGCTGAATACTCAAAGACAGTAGCATTATTGCGACACCCCAATGCCCACAAATCTTATTTATCCTTCAAAATGATGACGACACGTATGTTCAAGTGAGATGTGCCTGTTTGAGTAACAAAAGCCTCCGCTCTTTGAAATTAGTCCTCAATCGAGGTATGAAATGTGATTTTCAAAGCGTCCTTTTCTCAAAATGGTGTCATCTATTTGCGTGAACCTTTTCCTTAATGCATTCACATTTACAGTATACGTATGCCAAAGACGGAAGTGTTCGTGGCGTGATGGTGAGCCGGAAAGCAGTCTTGGCGCATTGTCGTGCGCTCACGACGGCCTGCCACTACTCCGAGGGTGATGTGATGGTCTGCGTTGTGGACTGCCGGCGGGAAGCTGGTCTTTGGCACGCTGCTTTGGCTGTATGTAATGCATTTTTGCATTAAATCGTTGCCCCCGAGATTATTACCTACTTCAACAGACTTAATTTATATTTGGTCGATTCACTAGTTGAATGTTTACAACACTCGTTTTGTGGATACTGTGTTCAGTTGGTTTTGTTTGGTTGTATGTAGCCTAGCGTACTGTTTCCCCCGTCTCTGTGCGCTGTCGAATCCACCTGATTGTAGTACTGAGTCGTCAAATGTATCATTTGCCCACGGATTTCGCTGGTGAATGCTCAGCATGCTTGGGATCCGTGATATCTCGTCGCAACTAGTGACGAATTCAATTACTATTATGAATGTACTACTGGTATGCTTGAGAGAATTACGGCCACAAACTTGTACCCTCATAGATTTATATTGTTTTACACAATTTAGAGTGTTTTTAATGGGATGCACGTTGTGTTTGTACCTTTCAACGTCCTTCAACTGGATCCCGGATCATGGATTCGCTTGGTGACCAAATACCGTGGTATGTTTTGGTTAAAAGTGATGTGTTTTGACATATGCAGTCGGAACTGCCAATGAGAAGCCTTACTTCTTATTCCCACTTTCGTCTACACCAACTGCACTGGCAAAACGCACCTCACCAAGCTCCTGTTTCCTTTTCAAAACCATAGTTTATTTTAATTTAATTACAGCACATGGTATACTTCGTGAATAGCGTTTTCGCCTAAATATCAAGTCGTTATTGTGTCGCATCGGATTTGCCGTTATTGAGAAAGTTATGTGTTATAAAGCTAACTTTTTTACAAGTGCGTATAATTTCATAGACTTGTCATGTTAAAGGTCATCTGTGGTGTAGCTCAGCTACTGTTGTTGGTATGAAACAACGATGAAAACAGGAAAATCGTTAAAAGTAAAAATTTTCTTAGCAGTTTTTCACTTTAATAGGTCCATTAAAAAGAACGCGGTTCCCCATAAAACATTAGAATTGACACTGCAAGCAGTCCAACGATGCAATAATCTGATCTCAATGTACAGTACGTGCACATGTCTGCATTTTAGCACATTTGACATCTAGAAACGGGTCGTATGAGAACCTCAGGAAACCGTAAAGTCGGTTTGGTGCATTTGGTTTTGAGCAGCACTATAGTGTGTTTCAATTTTCTTCACAAGTGGCGTTCACGTATAACATAATATGGCACAACGCAAATTTCGCGACTTTGTATACTTTTGCGCTATCTTCCCAAAATATTTACTGGGTCTCCTGTACAAGTCGTAGCTGTCGTGCGGTGAACACATTTGATCTTTAAGCATTGCGAATACCTGCGCGCTGTCACATTTTTGGAGGTAAGCTATTATTGGCCTCCCACTCCTACTTGAGACAATCCGTGTGTCCATTTTTCCTAATAAGATGGCTTGTCTTCAATGCTAGTTGGCCTTTTGCGGTTTGGTTTCACCTCGGCCTGACACTTGGACGATGAAATTCATAATCCTTTCTTATCACTTTTTATGAAGGCGGTTGTCAACATTGCAATGCACTTTTTTGCATCAATGTGCTCGAAACCGATTCAAAGTAGTGGTGATTTAAGAATTGAGGGAAACTTCAATTCGTGAATGTTGTCCGAACTGCGCCCCTTCTATTTAGGACATTGCTCATGCTTACTTTGACTGCTCTGTGCTAATTTTTTTCGGCTTTATGTATGGGTCCCAGAGAGAGAACCCTGCTTTATTCATGCTTTATTCTATTCCATTCCAGCTTCACCACTGTCCTATTTTGTTAATCTTCATTAAATAGATATTCTTTCTAATGTTCTGCTCATGCGATACTTTTTTAGCTTCCGTCGCCATCGTTAAGAGTCGTGATCTGCACTGGGCATTGCTGGCCGAACGCGAAAATCCATTCAGTAATCTGTCCTCCCTTCGTGCTCTTCTTGTCACTGATGGACACAATCCTTGTAAGTTATTTTCATCGGCACCCGTGCACTACGGTGCTGTCGTGTGAGCGAAGTCGCCGTCCAAAAACAAGTGAAACAGACCAACCTCGTTTCTGTCTTAATTTCGGCACTGTCATTTCCCGCATCTGCAGCGGGCGAGGCAAGTGCACGGGTGTAGGGCTGTCTAATTTGAACTCCGTTACTACTTCGACTAAAGTTCTTATTCTGTAAACATTTCATTGTGATTGATTCAATGCCACAGTTCATTTTTTATTCTTTGTAATGTAAATTCCAGCACATTTAAGTAGTATTGATGAGTTTCCGGTATGGAACGTTAAACCGCATCGTAGCAACCGCGATTTATGGTCACGACACTACTATACGCATGCACTCCGGTGAGAACGACAGGGTTCCAAAAGCAATGGGCATCCTACCACTTACTGTGAATCTCGACCGAATTTCACCTAGTGAATTTGATCGCGAGTGTTTGTTAATTGACGACGTGCACAAGCAGGGCAATGCCTCTTAGTGGCCTTAATCGGTAGAAGTCAAGTGGATATGGAGTATGGGGTCAATTAATTACGTAGAATCAGATAGGTGGTAATGTGTAGAGAATGGTCACTAAGTTAAGAAATGCATAGGGATAAGTGGTTTACGTGAATTAATGCACCTCATAATGATATCGCTTAATTATTAGCTTTGTTTTGGTGTCTAATGGTGAGCTTTTGACTGCCTCTAACTGGCTTCTAAATGTTGTAAGCAGTCGTTTGTCAAGTCCCTCTTCCACGTGCAATTCTGTCTGTAAGGGCATCCGGATAACGTGCATCATTGGCGTACCCTTCAGCAAAAAAATGTGCTCATGTTTGCTTGAATAGTATAAACTTGAATTTGGACATTTTCACAGAGGCAGTCAGGCATTTAGATCTCTACCGGACTAGCAACTAACGTAACGATTCCGGACTATTATTGCAAACTTGATAAACTGGACATGGTGGATGCTATTAATCGCTAAATACACGAATCAAAGTAGTGAAGTTGCCGCTTTGTTCCAAAATACGATTTAAACAGCTCCAGGACTTCTTGAATGGGTTTTGAGAAGTTAGAGAAAAAGGATACAATTATTGCAATTGTGAACATTAAACGTAAATAACCGACTCAAGACATCTGCTCAAGCTAATCTGCTAGTCCGTTCATTGAGATAGTCCTATGGTATTTTGAGACCTTTTTTGATTTAAATTGATAATCTAAAATCTGCATCGTCAGGTTATCTTCTGCTTCGTCTTTAAAGGGTCATTGAACTCCTGTGATCTATTTGCGGCAAAATTCAAGTCAAGAGGACTCAACCCGAACGCTATTTGTCCGATTGCGGGTAGCTCAGAGACATTGACCCTTTCTCTTCGCCGCCCAATACCCCCTACCTCTGCGGGCACAGGTGGCCTTTTTGGGATACACTCCAACGGCAACTCACAAGGTGTCGGTGTCGTGCAAACGTCGAACAATGATACCCAACAACAGGCTCTCCTTGGTGCTTCTGCTCCAGCTGCCGCAGCCGCTGCCAGAGGAATCATATCAATCCAAGGACTGAGTTATGGTGTCATTAGGGTGGACACTGAGGATTCTTTTACATCCTTGACACTACAGGACTGTGGTCAGGTGCTGCCAGGAGGTTAGTTTTGTGATGTTATAGAGGATGCTTCGGTTGGAGTTATTCGGGTGGTAATTATCAAAATTACTTTAAATATAGGCTGATGTGATTATCTTTTTTTGCTACGGTAGTGACTTATGTCCTCTGCGTTGGTGAATGTTTCGCTTTCAGGGTACTGAACAGAGTGTTCATCCCCTGCTGTTATTTTTTTGCTAATTGTTCAGGTTGTGTTGGGACCCAGAGTCCAAATGAACTATTCAACCTGCGACATTTTTCCAAGCAAATGTCTTATCTGTTGTCTAACTTGATCGAACTAAGGATATAAAGTCACCTCACTGTTTAAATTTTGCCAAATTGCTTCCAAATTGTTATTGTATACCCTAGCGACCGTGGTTGTGGTGAGTCTGGGTCCCACACCGACAGTTTGTCGGACAGACGAGGTTGGTGAGCTTTGCATCGCGGCCGACTACACAGGTACCGGCTATTGGGGACTCCGCGGAAAAACAGGTTCCCACTTTTGTGTCCAGCCCGTCCACGAAGATGGGCGACCTGTCGTTGTCAGTAACACCACTGGAGGTCTTCACGTTGGTGCCGTAGCGGGCGGCACGACAAAATTTGTGCGATCCGGTCTTATTGGCTTCCCTGGACCAGCTTCTTCAGTAAGCTGCTTGTTCCGCTCTCAGTACTAATTTACATTTATCTCATTGCCTCGTTTTCGTTACAAAAAGTCAAGTGAAACGAGGAAAGACAAGTTGTCCAACATCCCTTCAGGAATGTTTTTAAATCATTTCAATTCAGTTGTCCTTTCTGGTTTAACAATTTTAATGCAGTAATTTATCTGGGGAACCGGGAGCTGGAAAACACACGTGGTTAACTTATTTCTGAAAGAGCGTCGGAATGAACTGCCGCGGTCAATGTCAGCAATGTGCAATTGCGTAGCTTTCAATGTCATCGGAGGCCTGTTTCTGCCCCATTCTCTTGCTTGAACTGCGTTGGTAATGGATGAGCACTTTCGTTTCAGAAAGGTATGTGCTTGGAGTCTTGTTCACTCAACCGATTGTTTTAACTTGTCAGTTCTTAGGTTCACTAAGATGACCTCTGCGGTAGGATCGTCAATGTCACTTTCAAAGCTCAGTCAGCTGTTCGCGAAAACCGCCTAATTTTATATTAATGCGTTGACTGAGGTTGTATTCGGTCAACACAACTGGGGGCACCCAACTTCGAAGATTTTAATTTGTTCCCCATTTTGTACAAACGCTTGGAAATAACTGGGTAGCAGCGGAGCCGTAAGCTCTTGTTGCGTTTGCCTTGAGTCTTCACTCGGCACGGCTTGCAATTCTGCATATTCGAACTTTCGAGGCTGCTGTCCAAATCGAGACTTGTCACAAAGATCAAAATCACCACTTCTGAAGCGTTTGTACCAATAATTAAACGTTTCGTAAGGCACCAGGAGCCCTACAAATTGATTCCCGTGCTTCTAAAGCATTGTTTCCTTGTTGGAATTCGTATAAATTCCAGTGCCGAATATGCTGTTTATCAGCTATCATCGTAAACTCTGCTGCTCTGGAAGGTTATGTCATTCACAGAAGCTTTTCGCTCGGTACTTTGAAACTTTGTGTCCGATCCATTCAAAACCACAGAAGACCGCGAATATGTTTCCATTTTAAATACAATCTTAAGTTCGAAGAAAAAATCGGTAAAATTACGTCATTCATCTAATATCTTATTGGTGACTTATTGGCTGTCGCAGGTGTTGTCCAATGTTCAATTTTCTTGGCAATGTACCGATACCTGGTCTTTTGAAAGCGATTTGAAACGAATCTATTCATTTGCATAATTTTGTAACCTCCATCATCTGTTATTGCAGGGCGGTCTCATTTTTATTTGCGGTTCCATCGATGGAGTGCTCTCGGTCGCTGGTCGCCGCCATAATGCCAATGATATAATTGCAACTGTGATTGCTGTACAGCCTACGAAAATCGTTTACCGTGGACGGTAAGTTTTCGGTGCATTGGTGTACATGTTGTCTCTTACTGATCCCAGCAACTACCAGCGATGTGTTTACCTTACACGTATGCACGAAGCTCGTTTATCTTAAACCCTCTTGTCACGCTTTTGTCCACAGTACTTGTAATTATTTTTGAAATATTTTTACAATTTTCGATAATGGTTATCGAATCTGAGGCTTTTTTGAGCGTCGAAACTCACTGAATCAGTGCTCATTTGTCAAGTGCCCTTACTAGCTTGAATTTATTGTAATTTTTGTTCATTTACAGAACGGTGCATCATATTTCAAAATTATTTTTTGCCGAAACTCCTTGTTTATGTTTTTGCTGCCACTTTATGGATTTGAAGGTGAAGTCATCTAAACCGGTTTTAGTGAAATTATCATGTCAACCTACTTCGTGAGCGTCAGTGTACTCGTAGTTTTTGCCCCATTTGCCTGTCCCTCTAACTGTCCACCGATAATTTATCGGCCATTTTATATTCCTTAGAATCGCTGTGTTTTCAATCGAAATGCTGAAAGACGAAAGGATTGTTGTGGTTGCTGAGTTACGGCACGGTTTTTCAGAAGAGGCGGCTTTCTCGTGGATGTCGCAGGTTCTCCAAGCTGTCGATAGCATTCATCAGGTCAGCGTATACGCCCTTGCCCTCGTATCACAAAACCAACTTCCTCGTGTGAGTTTTCGTTGCTCTTCTGAAGTTTATTTCTGTCTTTTATTTTAGTGACCGTGTGCCAAGTTCCATGTGAAGTTTTAGCACATTTCTGCCATGTAAAATCTAAACCTTCAGTTCAATGGCACCAAGCCAAAAGACACTTTTTAGTTTCAATTTTGTATACTCAGGTAGTGTTATAGTTATGTAATTTACAGCACATTTCTTCACACAGAAGATTTTTCAATTAATTCTTGTTTTAGACTCCATTTGGGGGAATTCATGTGCACGAGGTGCGTCGCTTATTCTCGAACGGCCAACTCCATCCCATCATGCTGCTACTTTGTCCGCATTCGGCGATTCAGAACTTGCCCCAGCCCCGAACTCAGCCACCCACTAGTCTAGTCGGTGCCTCGGCCATGCTTGTCGGACAAGTGGTTCAAGGTGCGCGAATGGCCGAGGCCCACGGTCGAATGATCTCAAACTCTGTCCACGGAAGCATGACTGCACTTGGACCTGGTGCACCTGACCTCGGTGTATGTTTGTGTTGCTACACATAAAACAACTTCCAAACATTTGCATGTGTTTTTAGAACTGAAGGCGAACAAAATGTGATGCTAAACACTTTACTATGCCTATTTTATATTCCAGCCTCGAACCGTTACCGAAGTGTTGCTGTGGCGGGCAGCGCACACGCCAGAGGACCGCCTCTTCAGTGTTTATAACGCCAAGGGTGCAGTGGTGGCCAGTCTCACATGCCAACAGTTGCACCAAAAAGCCGAACGTCTAGGCAGCTTTCTTCATGAGAAGGGAAACGTCAAACCTGGCTCTGTCGTCGCCATCATGTTCATGCCAGGCAAGTTCCTCTTCTTCATTTCTCATCTGACCACATTTCCCACCCTATCCGGGTCTATTTAATTTATACAGTAATGATTAGTGTCATCATTGTGAGGGGACATGTCAACTTTTTTTACATAAATCATGCCGAATTGAACGACTTTTTCAAGTCGATTACTTTTTGCCTTGTTTCAAAAGGCCCTGTAACTTTATCTTGTTCAAGCATTTCATTCACAACGGCGCCTGTTGTTCAAGCCAAGTATGACTGTGCATATTGGTATTGGATTTCAAAAACGCGTCTGAGAGAAACTAGCTTAATTGATGACACCCTTAGTTGCGCTGACCCGCCTGACAAAGTCTGTTTTGCCATTGCGCAAGCTGACACTGAAGCACCTAACCGCGCGAAGTTGGGCGCAAATGCAGCCTGTTGTGTAACCCGTTTTCCTGCACCACCTATTCGCTTCATTATGATTCGTGGCCCTTCTTAATTCTTAAAATAACCTTTTCATGCTTTGGGAGTACTTTTGTTTGTTAGTAACTGCGTTTTCTGAAAAGGACCTTGAAAATAGCGATTTTTATCCCACAGTCCGATGTCAGTGCTTTTTCTTGGTCAGCGACTGTGTCTGGCACATTTCCTAGCTATCTCGTGTGCGTGCCTGACGTAAACAAGGTCGTGGGTCATTTCTCAACCTTCTTTCGCTTTGTTGTCCTTGAGCCCTTCACTAATTTTTCGCTAACGAGTTTTCTGGTTGGGCTTCACAATAGGAATGACCTTAAATTATAGTGCATGCTTCTGCATTGTGGATGTTCGTTACGTATTCCTCTATTTCCAACTGACCATCCGTATTTACTAATTCTTAAACGTTAATTTGCAGTAATTGTAAAGACATTTCAACCACCTTTGCCAGCCTATTTTACGGCGCTGTGTCTATTCTCTAAATGCATTATTTAAGCGTTTAAGGCCAATGTAATGAACTAACTTCGATTTAGAAATTTGTTCGGCACACGCCGATGGTGACCGGTGCCGTCGAACCTTTTGCTAATTTAAAACCAGGGAATTTCAATGCTGGATGCTTCTGTATCAGTGTCGAGTTGTTACAGTACTGTTCTATTTCAAATTTAAAGCTTGAAATGTAGGCTTTGTGGTAGTTTGTATATAAGTATGTCAGCACGTTGTCACTGATGATGTTCAGTTGTTGTATTTGTCGTCCCGATTCGAAACTTTTGCCGTTTGAACCATTGGTGCCAAATGTGGACATAGTGCTTCAAGTCTTAAAATATTGGGCAGCTAACACGTTCGTATCGTAGTTTTGTGGTCCCTTGTTTTAACAGTATCCTCAAACGTACCCGCGAATGCGCCAATTTGGGTTTTATTGGTTGGTTAAAACGTATTTAACTTGGTAAAATTGTACTTGAATCAGTTTTCTAAGGAAGCTGTAACTAAAGTTGGCACCCTCGAACATCCAACCGGTGAGATTTGTCGGTTTTTGCCATTCCACGAAAGTGGATGGACTCTAACGGCTTTGTACTCTTTTGCCTCAGTCGCTTTTTGGGGATCGGTTAGGGGTACGAAAATTACTTCGAAAGCACCTGCCTTCCCTATCTCTACAGCCGCGTGCTATTGGCATGTAATTAGGTGTTGAAACCCCATATACATAATTGTATGTGTAATACAGTTGTATGAAGGCCCAATTTTGTGGTTAGCGGTGCTGTCGCAATGCTTGTTTATTTCTTCAAGTTCCCGATCTCAACACTGTGATGCCAACAGTCGTGTTTATCACCGTCCAGCCAGTTGATAGTTAATCCAATTACAGGTCGAGAAGCAAACGCTACTGATTTTTGACTGAAAGGCGCAAGTTCTCACATCAAATAGACTCAGGATAACTCGCCGCATTTGTTACATAATTTGGGTCTTATCGACTGTCTTTTCCGTATTAGGCAAGCCTGTCGACTTGCGCACACGAAATGCGTGAGTCATGCCCTCGTTCGTGCGTACGCCCTCGGCAGTTGTAGTTGTCGCCTGCTCATGCGACTATTCATTTGTTCTTCGTTCTTATCTCGCATACGTTCTCTGATTAAGTTAACCTACATAACCCTTAATCGCGGGACTCTGTTGGTGATATTGCTTCCCAACATGGTTTCCTCGAATTATCGACTGGGAATGATTGAGTCTATATTGTATTTGATCTGGCTTCTTGTGGACAAATCACTTACCTCTTCTTAAAAGAGGAAAATATTTTGCCAAGTTTGCGAAATCAAATAATTATCCTTACACTTAAAGGTATTGAGATGGTGTGCGCGTTCTATGCCTGCCTGTACATAGCCGCTGTCCCAGTCCTCGTCCGCCCGCCGCAGCAGCCCCGCAATCCAGCGGGTGCACCGATCGGCGGAGGCTCGCCCAACTCTGCCTCTTCCATCCCTTCTAGCAGTCTGTTTGGCGGTTCTTCAGTGGACCTCTCGGCAAGTCGCTCCTCTCTGGAACCGTCTCCCCCACCCGCACAGATTCGATTTGCTGATTCCATTACAGTGGCTTGGAGTGTGGTCTCAGCGGCACAAGCTTCTGTTTGTCTCACTCAGTCCTCCATCATCAAGCTTATCAAGTCAAAGGTGAGTCACCATGGTCTGCTTGCTTCCCCACCGTAATGTCTCCCTTGCCCATCCAACCTCCTCTTTCCTTTGATGACATTGGTTTGAATGCAGCGTGAGCCATCTATGGGAGAAACATTGATAAACGCCGTTCTTTTATTCAACAGTCATGTCGACACCAAACGTTTTGGTTCTTTCAGAAATGTGGCAGTGTATTTCTATGACTTTGTGATTGGCACTGTATGTTGGCAGTGACTTTTTGTCCCATAATTTAAGGTTTCAATAATTTATGTGCCTTTACTTATATTTTAGTTTTGATTTACTATTCGGAAGTTGTTATTCAGTGAGAGACCTAGTTGGTTTTCTATGCAGTTTATGGCGTCGTTTCGAGGATTATTTTGCTGCCATTAATGTTAGTTCTTAAATAATACCGTTGTTTTTGTTAACTTTAAACCTTTGCCAACGTTTTGTTTTGAAATTAAGCTAATATAGTGCGATACCTAACGGTTCTTTATTTCACATCTCTTGTAGGAGGCTGTGGGACGTATTCCTATTTCTAACTGGCCTCCATTGCTGGACTATGATGAGACTTGGCGGAAAAAGTTGACAAGTGTATATCAGCCACAATCGGCCGAAACCGAGGTCGCATATCTTGATTTTACTCCCTCCACTACGGGTGCGTTGCGTGCCTCTTCTGTTCGTCGCATATTACGGCATAACGTGGCATGGCCGATTCACAAATCTTTTTTACTTTAGGTACGCTGACAGGCGTAGAGGTGACCCATGCTGCGGCCAGTGCACTATGTCGTGCCCAGAAGATGCAGTGTGAATTCTATCCAACTCGCGAACTAGTGCTCAGCCTGGAGCCCTACAGTGGACTCTCGGCCAGTCTCTGGCTCTTAACTTCCATCTACTGTGGCCACCATTCCATTCTCGTGCCCCCCCAGGTCACCGAAGTGGCCCCCGACCTCTGGCTCACCATATGCAGCCAGAAGAGGAGTAAGGCTCTTTATGTGCTTCTGTGCTTATTAGACAATCTCTCTCAAAGTGTTTTCAAACATGTGGCGGTATTTGTCGATGTTCATGGAACGTGGTTTTTGAACCTTGGGAAGTAGTCTTGGTAAAATTGCTGACCAGCTCAGAACCTGATTCGTAGGTTTGTGCAGCTGCTTTCCAACCGCATTCTTCCTTTATGCTCTCAGCACCAAGGGACAGAATATGCAGTGAAAAGACGCCACATTTAGGTGTAAAAAATAGTTTGGTTACTCGTCATTTTACGTCAAGTTGCGTGCTTATGACACGTGATCGGATAAACACTGAAGGTCTGAGTATGAGGATGGTGAGCCGGTGGATGACTGATCTCCTGGATTTCGTATGAACGTCTAAATGAAAGGAAATAATTAAACCATCCTTTACATGGTAGTAAATGCTTCTAAACATCAAACTGACATAACAAATGACGAAGGTAATTAAAGATTCGCGTGTCTAATGGTGTCATGCGAACACATCAAATTATAGTTCTGGCACTAACGCTGTGTGGTTTTAGATGGTTGAACTCTTACCTCCCATAGATGTGTCTGCGCGTGAATACTAGATGTGTTTAAATGTCGAAGGCCTATGGTGATGTAGTAATCTCGCTTTTTGTAATATGTAACACCGAATGGATCGGTGGACAAATTGAAGTAGCTGTGTTTAAATGAAGATGTGTCTCGTTGAAAGGCCAGTAGTTGTTATGTAAATTTGACCTCATTTGATTGCCAGAATGCGGTACCAACCTTACTTCTTGTGAAATACGGGTTTATTCCTCAGCTTATTTATACAATATCAAAGTCGTGCGCCCAAAATTGAGATCTTTTGCATATTACTAGTGTATTCAAGTTTCATCCACTCTCAAAATTCGATAGACTCGTCCTTGGGCTAGATCGTGAGAGATTTCATGTTAGCAACCAACTTTTGCTTGCTGGTTAGCGCTCTTTTTGTTCTACTTGTTATCGAACTAAATTGAATCTATTGGCCTGCTTTGTTTTTTATTCATTTTCCCTTGAGAAAATTAGTCCAGTTTGGATGTTTGTCTCGCATTTGTCCGATTGAGTTGATGAACCAAAAGTCTGTATTTATTGTCTTCAAGTACCGATGGCCTTACGAAAATTTAAAACGATCAATTTGGTGCTCCGGTTGATGTATTCCTAGCGGATTTGTTCATACTCCTTATACTTGTAATAATGCAGGAAGAAATATTGCGTCATTAAGTACAGTGCTTCAAATTTAAATCTTATTACCGTAGTAACTTTTGTTTTTAACGGAAGTCGTCAAATTTTTAGTAGATCTATGTTAAAATATGTGTACTATTATTATTCGAACATTTAAGGTTTTTGAAGTACACACTTCTACCAACTTTAAATTGCTTTAAACTATGAATAAATACCTTTGGATTTTCCGCATATTCCCTACTGGCAACATGGGTCCCATATCACTCAACCAAAATAAAGCGTGATATTTAAAAAAGAACTGGCACCGTACTTATGTGTCAGTTTGAAAGCCACAAAATAGGTAAGAACTAAATGCATAAATTCATGTCGGTCGCTAGCCATTTTTGTAGTTGCTTTAAATCTGCCAACTGTTCTTTTTGTTTGGCGGATTTAGAAGTCTTAGATACTGCGCTCACCTACAATCGGCGCGGGGACATTATATTTTGTTTTGTTGCACTTATTCTTTAGCCTTGAAGTTTTGCTTCACTTTTAAACGTACTCGTCTTTTTAGTTCGCGAGGTCTTCTGTTCCTACGCCACAATCAAGTTGGCCACCATTTATTCCGCAAGAATGATTTCGTCCATGAAGGTAATTTTGATGCCTATTTATGTCAAGCCTCATTTTGTTTCATACCTCTGTATGTTTTTGCCCTAATTTCTCTAGTAATATCTCATGTCAGGGAGTCTGCTCTCTAGACGAAGAACTGTGGTTAAGCTCAGATTCGTCGATACCTCGTTCTGTTGTTTTTTTTCGGATAGTATAAGTCAACACTTAACCGTGGTATTGACCAACTTGGATCCGACTACGAACCTAGTTGATTTTCGGTGATAATTTTCCACTTTCTTTCTCCCTAGATGAAGGAAGTGTCACTGGAGAACCTGAGAAGTCTAGTCATCGTATCGGAGGAACGACCTCGTGTTAACCTGACCTCCTTATTCACTAAAATGTTTGCGGCTGTTAATTTGAATTCACGTGCCGTGAGCAGTTCTTTCGGATGTCGCGCTAATCTCGCAATGTGTCTTCAAGTGAGTATGGCTAACTTTTATTTTTTTGCCTCAGTTTCAGCAAAGCGGTCATTTTTGGTTCAATAGGACGACTTGTTCCTGTCTTTTGCAACATTTCGAATTTCCTATTAGGACTATCTTTTTTAAAACTGGTTGTCTTGCTAAAGCACCCGAAGTTGTGTCCGTGATTTGGCTCAACACTAACACGTGATATTTGTTGGTCTATTGGTCTGATTCAATTTAATCTGTCGTACTAAAGGTGCCGTGCCTTTGTTTAGATACGACGCGAAAATGACGCGTACTTTTATTCATCTCTAATCGAATCACCGCTGCTTCACACTTGCCCTTTAAACTTAGAAGAATGTGATTTCCTCTTCAATTGTTTTCTAGGGTGCTAGCTCTCCAGACATCACAACAGTGTACGTGGACCGCGTTAGTCTTCGAAATGACCGTGTGAACCTTCTTGAACGCGGGTCACCTAACGGTCTCTGTTTAATGGAATCTGGCAAGGTAAGAAAAATCTCTCCCCGCGTTCTTATTGCGCATCTTATGTTTATCGGGACACTTCAGGAAGGTGCTCTTCTGCTGTTTTTAGAAGTTGTACGATTTTTTGCAGGACAGAGCACACACTATCTGTTTCAAGTAGACAGATATATTTTGTTATGCTTTAAGGTTTAGGTATGCCGATTTTTCACTGCGTGTGTCACTGAATGCGAGGCAAATATTCAAAAATCATCATCATTGTTGTTGTAAAAAAAAACTATTTCTGGATTTGTATAACTGGATAGTTATCGCCAAAATTCAACGAAACATCTTTAGCACCACTTCCGCTAGCACCTCTACCAGGAAAGCGATGGTCAAATACCTGTTCGTATGCTTCGATTAATGTGTAGCGTCCTAAGGTATGCTATGCGCTTCATTACATTGGTGCCTGCTATCTAGCTTTTACCCGGTGTGCGCGTTGCTATCGCGAATCCAGACACATTCGGTCAGTGCGCCGATTCCCATCTGGGCGAAATCTGGGTATCTTCTCCACACAACTCCACTCGCCTCCTTGGTCCCTTCAACATCAATCCATCTGCTCCTGCGATCCGGACGCCGACTGTCGGCTCCGATCACTCAAGCACCTCCTCAAACGCAGCCTACGAGAATGCTCCCACCGACCCCCTAAAGGCACGATTCGTTGCCGGCGACACTGGTCGTGTATATGCACGAACTGGCTTCCTCGGCTTCGTTCGCAGAACTGAATTAACTCAGTCCGATGGTGGTACGGTCTTTTTTCTCTTAACTGAGCTTTATCCTAGTCACGTATGTGTTTGGGAACGTTAACCACCACTTTGGTGGTTTATTTGTCTGCTCGCTAACGACTTTTACAGAATAGCACATTCGGAAATTTGCAATTAAATCAAAATTTCTAAGTATTTTAACCTCCTAATATAACTCCCTTCGATTATTTACCTTGTAATCTGCAACGAAATCGATCAATGCCCTCTGGACTATAATTTTGAGGTTACTGTCACCTACAGAGGGAGCTGGCCCACTTATTCGATAGTAGTAACGGTCGTGACTTGGATCCTTTTTATGTGAGTATTTACGAGGGCAGGTATCGAATCCGGTTTGACACAAATACTGTCATCTACCAAAAATACACATTGCAGGCACCTTGTAGTCTCAAAGGTGAGCGATACTGTGAAATTATTCTTATTCAAATTGGAGGCCTTTTTATGACGTCATTTTTCTAAGTCTGCGATCTATGCCAAAATCCTACTTTGGGCTTCAGGTTGGAATGCATTAACCGCCATGAGATTGGGTTTCGCTCATTCATAGTTTATTTTTCCACCAGCTCTTCACGACGCGGTGTTCGTTGTGGGAAACCTCGCCGAGACTATGATGCTCCGCGGAATGCGTTTTTACCCCATGGATATTGAAAACACGGTACTTCGCTCCCACAAAAAGATTAATGAATGGTAAGTGTACCGTAAAATTTATTAATGCTATTATCTACATTCTGATTCACTATAATTCATTAGAGGGAATTTCTTTTGGCGTAAAATCCTCCTCCGGTAATCGACGACAAGTAACTTCTCGCTGGCACCCCTTTTTGTCAATTAAAGTTTGTAAATTAAACTGCACCCTTCTCTAAATGCATATTAGGATATGAGACAAGTCTGCTTAGAAGAGATTAGCTTTTTGCTTGTTAAGCTGAACCTTCGAAGTATCTATTAATGCAAGTTCGCTATACTAAAACACTATGGCGTGTTTGATTTTACTTTTTGGCCGACGTCAGACCATATTGTGCATTATAAACATTCTCCTTGTGTTTTCTTCCTTTGCTACGCTGCATTACGTGGTCTTGTTCGTAATCCATATTTGGGAAGCATTTTTGCCCTCCCTGTTAGGTCACAGTAAAATTAATTTGCATAGGCTTGTGCCACAAAGAATAAAATTAGTTACCAAAACTTGGGGCTAAAACCACACAGAAATGTGAGCTTTACAATTAGTCTTTTGTACATTAGCGCCACTTTTATTACTCAGTAAAAAGCTTTTTTTTACATTTTAGTGCCGTCTTCACTTGGTCCGATCTACTCGTTGTTGTTGTTGAGCTTCTTGGCGAGGAATCAGAAGCTCTTGATTTAATTCACCCAATAACCGCAAGCGTACTGCGAGAACACCAATTGATTGTTGGTGTGGTAGTTGTCGTAGACCGCGAAACTGTGCGCGTTGACTTCTACGGAGAGAAGCAGCGCATTCTGCTTCGGGATAACTTTGTCAACGATGAGCTTGACCCCATCTATGTTTCTTATAACATGTGATTGTCCCAAACCCTCTCCCTCCGCTCCGAACTACTGTACAGCAATCTCTCCTTTTTCCTTGATCAAGACCAAACACCTGATTAGCTTTAGACATTGGTTAGAATGAGCGCGTTTGTGAGTTTTTTTCTGCCATTATTCGAATGCTTTTGCGGCACACGTGGGCGGTGCCCGGTGATCGTGCTTTCCATTCCTGCCAGCAAGACAAGTCACCTTTTAGTTGTCATTGCGCTTCAATCTTACACGTTCTATCAAGTGGCATTTACATCGAACAGTGACACAAATTTTCTATGTCCATCTCTAGATGGAACTCCAGCCTTTCTTCATCTAAATACAAAGTTTATCATAGTGTTTGCATTCTCACTTAGCACTAAGGGTCCCAAATTCACTTCATAGCATTTAGTCTCGTCACCACTCAATTTGTTCAGATAGAAGCAAGGTGGGGAATATTTAGCATGGATTGCATGTCCAATAAGCACTTTAATTGTGGTCTTTGTGTTGGGATGAGTCTTGGTAGTTTACTATTGTCGCCATCATTCACCCATGACCGGTCCCCACATCTGCTCACTCGCGCGTACAATCCCTGCTGAGTCGTTTGACCCTGTCCTTGTGTCCACCCCCAACGATTTTCCATTTTTACTCTCGACTCTCACTGTATTGGCGAACAAATCCCGCAAACTCTGTTATCACACCAATGACATGCACCCTGGTGTTCACGCTCATGACATATAGATGCTCGTGATTAACGTTGACTGAGTATAGTTATATTCATCACCCCAATGAACGATTGAGTTATCATTTCTCTTGGTACTTGGCATCGAATCGGGTCTCTACAGCCATAACAATTTTTAGTGCACCAGTGTGGACGTGAGACCCAAAATGTGCTAACTTACGGCGTAAGTGCCTGTTGATGTCTGGCTATATTTTTATGTCATTACAGCTTTTCACCTTATCTGTACTTCCTCTGATGTCATGTGATGAAACGTAGGCACGTAGGTGTCATTATGGTCCAGTATATGCACTGAACGGATAAACTTTTCAGTCTGTGTTCTCAGACCAAGAACGGCCTTTGTGATTATGTGTAGATATTTTCACAGAACTGCAAACTGTTTGAGCCCTAGTATTGAGGATTAAGGAGACAACGTACTCGTGATAGATTCACTTGACGAGAAAGCTAGCTGCACTCTATCCGTGTTACATTGCTTAGGCACGCCTGCCCTCTCATTCTTTATATTTGTCACTTTCAACTAGTGAAACACTAAGGCCACAGTGCGCTGCCTGTAAACCTGCTTCCATCTGTGCAAACTGGGTTTCAGTGTTGTATTGCGCATTCCCCACTTGCCGGAAGCCTTTGAAAATGGTTTCAAGTGATGAACCTGCACATAAGCAGGAGCTGTGTTATGTCCTAGTCAGATAAAGGCGGTGAGGTTGCCGCTGACAAGACTTGGCAATCATGGCCCTACAATGAAATGTGCACAAACGGCCCGTCTATTTACTCACCCCGAGTGCTTGTCTCTAGGTCGTCCTAGTGACGTCTTTTCATCGACCGTTACAGGTCATTATGTCTACATACTTTAAATGATCACCAACACGTAGCTGATTAACTAATGGATGTTTGTTTGAATCTATCTTCTTTATTTTGGATGGGTAATGCTTTCTCTCAAATGGTCAAAAGCGGTCAACTGACAGCACTCAGGTGGCTGACCTCCAGATAGGTTGATTTGTGGCAATCAAGGTCACCTTCAAGTGTTCTAAGATTTTCGCTGAACAATCTGTTTTGCAGCTTACTGCTTCGGGACCAGTGTGGTACGTTGCGATACGCGACCGTCCGTGGAACCTGCCTGATGAGAAGAGGACAGAAGGTAATAGGTGCACGTCCATCTCTTTATTCATTGTACCAAGCTTCTTTTTGTGGTGTTTATTTCTACACAGGGATGATTTGCTTAAAGTGATTTATTCGCCAAACTTTAATGATGGCTCGTGGATAGAATTAATTAGAAGCTTTAATACGTCTCTTGGGAGGTAATATTTGTATTCCGAGCCGCAGTATCCATATTGTTAGTTAAGCTATTGACGAATCAGATGTAGTTTTTCAAGCAAGGAATTATCGGACGGTTGAGAACACGTTAGATTAAGACAACATTTTGGTTCATACCCTTTAAAACTAGTTGTTGTTAAATGCATTGAAACGCAGTTTATATATATCAAGAAGTCGTAAATTAAAAAGCTCTCCTCTTCCAACTGCTCTTATGAATTGGAAACTTTTTCAGTTTAATAAGTCCTCTGTGAATATTAGTGCCTTGCAAAAGCTGCAACCGTCTAACTAACATTAAATAAGTCATATAATCCGACAAATTAGAACACCCTCATTTTAACGGCATTCCTTTCAGAACAATAATCACTTAGAGCAACAGAAACGGACTTGATAGCTAGCCATTTCGCATAGAAACACCGTGAGCTTAAAATCTGTTTGAATAGTTAATGTAGAACAATTAACCATGATAACGATCTCATACTAAGTTTGCGGCAAATAAACCTGCTAGATTTAAAACGAGTCCATGAGAAGATGACACATGTTTCTAGGAATTCGTTAGCTTCGTAAATTATAAAAAGATAAATTCTTTTGGGTCTTCACTAATTTCTTACAGATTTTGTATATCATTAGGTATATATTGCCGCCTAGGTTTTCAACCGTTTGTTAAGTGTTGCCATTTTGCGCACATCGTAATTGGCGGCGGTAATACAGAAACCATCCTTAAAATACTTTGTTGTGAGCCCCAGCATGTGGTCGTGAACCACGCTGGGGCCACTGAGTTAGCTCCGGTTCGGTTTCACTACCCTGACGCCCGTGATGAAGAAAATGACCGGCGATTACGTGGACACAGATGTTTACGTCAGAGCCCAACCACGTTGGTGTCGTTGTGTGACGTTTGTGCGTGTGTATTTATACCTCAGATGTGTGAGTCATTGATGAGCTAACATCGAGACCTAGGTATGGGGATAATCCAGGATAAGTGTTCGTCCGAAAGAAAAGGAGGTGAGGTGTAGTCTGTTCCATTGAAATGGCACCTACAGAGGATCCGCGCGGCTGGCTACATGCTGCGAAAGGGAGGGCCCTGTGTTGGAGACTGGAGTGGTCGGACTAGCGAGTGTAAATAATCTCGATTCACAGCAATTCAAAGCAATAGTCAGAACTTCTAGTGCATGTGTCATCATTCTCATTCGTTGCTGTACGATGTACAGATTGCCAGGCATATAATTTGATTTTCTGCTGAGGATGAACCTTTCACTCAAAAACCTTTAAAATTGACATATAGGTGTTATTTTTAAAAATAGATGGCTTTTATGTGGCTGAAGATGGTTAGTTGTCGGCGTTTAGGGCTATGCTACAAAAGTGCCATCCTTTTTTGTAAATGTGGAATGTGTGAAGTCATTTCTAATGGTCCATTTTTTAAAGATGCACTCTAAAATTGACCTATTTAAATAGATCTACCATTTTAATCGGGCAAAAGCCGCCTGCTGGATTTTAAACGGGCTATGGTCGAAGAGTTTTGGTGACCCGCCACTCAATTTTTTTCTCAGGCTTCTTACACTTTGTGCTTGCAAGCGAAATTTCAGGCTTCTACAAATAATAACGCTTCCAAGTATTGAGCTCAGTTTGGTTTTGTTTTTTTATATCAGGACCAAAAGATCATCTTGCTATTTTTTACGCCTTCTTGTTAGTTTGTATCACCTATGGCGATTCAAATGACCTATTTATGATCGAGTTATAATTCGTGCAAAGTACAAGGTAGCACAAAATTTGTGGCAGTATTAATTAGACTGAGATTGTATTTAAGTTGTTCCCTAGTAAACCTGACACAATTTAGTGTTAAAATTTATATCATAAAGTTGCAATTCAAGTTGATTCGTTATTCTCCAATTTGTATTAATTATGGGATTTCTAATTTATTTGCACGAGTTTTCGAAATTCATTAACTCGTGTTATATGAGTAAGCGTAAACCTGTCCCAGTGGTGGCTCTTAACAATAAGACTTTGTCTTTAGGCAAATTAACTTATTGTCGCTAATGCGATTGGTGTAGTTTCAAGTACGTGCACACAATTGACAATTTTTTCTTTTTTTAAAGTTTATACTTCAAACGATATTCTAGTAACTGATGTCGTGAAACTTGTCGGAAGCTTTCATAAACGCTTTAATTTATTCAGTATTTTATTTCTTCTTTTGTATATTGTTTTTTTATAAATTTGTTTTAATTGCCTGTACGGAACTGCTTGGCTTCGCCCCTACCGCAGTCTTTTCGATCGTGTTGGGCTTCGGTTAAATCTGTGGTATCGTCGGCTTGTTTTTCTCATGTAACTATTTTGTGGTCTGAAGTATGTCAGATTCAACAGGACCATCTTCGTAAGTATAAAAAAATCTTTTATAACATGAAAATTATCCGAGACGTATACCAAACTTCTTTCAGCAGTCAATTCCATGCCCTTTTTTAATGGCAGATGGTTTTGCTAAAGTTTAACGTTAAGGTATTAATCATTATTTTAAATTTGACGATGGTTTTCGGCAAGACTTGATTGGACAGGACTCGTTTTGGTTACTTCATGTTGTTTGTTTCCATCGCTTCTATGTCGTTTGTCACTCGATACCTCATTTATGTGCTTCTGTTAAGAAGCATATGTCCGTTTGAACATGAGAACTTGCCGCAGTAGTATGGGAACTAGTTCTAACAACGTTTAGATAAACTAGATAGCTATCATTACCGCTGTTGTTAAGGTATGATCCTTAGCTGTCTGCCAATAGCTGTAGCGTGTTTGGCAAATTGGACTTTTGGTAATATACCTTATTAAATATAACCGTTCCCTCTCCTCAACGCATAGGCGTAAACACTCAAATTATGCTGGCGATTCTGTTGCTACATTGTCATATTTTGATCGGATGATTGATTCGTAATGTCAAAGTTGGTAATACCTCGAATGGCGTTAGTACTATATAGTCTGCATTGGTTCTAGTTTGTGCTAAATCAGAGAAATGTCACAACTACCTACTTGGTTGCCGTTTCGCAAAACTCATGCTAACAAGATTCCATTGCTCACATATATCTGCTTGAACTGTCGTTGTAATTGAACCTTCGTCCGTTCCTAATCTCAGCGACAAGTCCTCTGCATCCCTGGAACCACCTCTGACTGAACCAAGGTCTGATTTGCAGTCACTTGAACCTAGTACCCAGTCCATATTAAATTCTACTGAATCTGGAGTCCTTCAACCTTGTTTGATCTCTACTTTGCCCAATGAACTGATTATCCGAATATTTAAGTATCTTCCGCTCTTCCAAGTCACTACTTCAGTTTCTCGCGTCTGCCGCCTGTGGAGACAGCTGGCTTTGTCTCCCGCTCTGAATGATGCAATGTACTTGAATTCCCAAGTTCCAGCGGATGTTTGCGCGAATCTGCTTAAGGATAGGCCCTTTCTTCTCATCCTCCGAATCACGGGTCTCAGATGTCTTCCTTATGTTATCCCCTACATCTGTCAGCTAGATCGACTTCAATGCTTGAACATGGGATTTTGTGACCTGAGTGATGCCGCAGCTCAATCACTTTCAAAAAATCTTCCTGGAGACCTAAGACATTTGAACGTTGAAGGTTGCAATTTTGTAAAAGTGAGTATTTTTTGTTTATTGGTGCTTTTTCTGTCATAAACACGCTAACGTGGTTAGCTGATTAATTTTTCGAGGCATAGGTGTAATGGGTCAGCTTCGTAACATTAATGGTGGTATAAATTTATTAAAATGATGTTATTTAAATTAGTACTTTAAAGCATGACATAGTTCGTATCTTCATTATGATTTCTTCAAATGTTTATTTATTTTAGATGTTCTTCATTCGAGATTTGATCACTCAATGCCGAAACCTAGAAGCGCTGAACCTTTCTCACTGCCTCGAAGTCAATAACGAATGTATTATTACTTTAGCACGAGCTGGTTTACGTCGTCTTCAGCGGCTTAACCTCGACGGTATCCAATGGATAACTGACGAGGCCCTTCGGGATGGCCTCGCAGCCATGGCGTCCCAACTGACTGCTCTTTGGTTGGACGGGTTCGAAGTCACTACCCATGGACTCTGCGCTTTCCTTTCTCATGTGCCTGCTTGGACACAACTTCAAGTCCTTTCAATCAGCTTCTCCGACAATCTTTCAGACTATTCCCTACGGCCAATTACTAAAATTGCCAATCTACGGGAGCTAAGGCTCAGAAAGGGTCGCAATCTAACTACCTCCGCGTTGATATCGCTTTTTAGTGATAGTGAACAGAGGCTCAGTCGATTGCGCAGTATTGACTTGAGCGATTGTCCAGGGGTTACAGATGCGGTTGTCGATGCAATCTGCGAATGCTGTGGGCCCAATTTGGTGGAACTGCTTTTGAACTGGTGCTGGGGCGTTAGTGATGTAGGACTGGCGCGAATAATCGGTTGCTGCAATAAGCTAAGGCATCTAAGTCTTGTGGGTAATCACACTCTTTTTGGAGAGCCTTTTATTAATCTATGTGAGAGGCAGCCGATGCTTCAATTTCTCAACCTGACTCAGTGCAACCAAATCGTTGATTCTGTCATCACTACCGTAGCCAAACAAATGCCCAGTTTGTACATATTTGATTACTTTGGGGAACGTGTTGGCGGTGTTGATGATGTCTGCCAGTACGACTTATTACGAACCATCAACAAGGCTCCGATATGCGAGCATTGATTTTTTCGTCGCATACTCCCTACTCATTGTACTTCAATAGAGTTTATAAGAGCAAATTAAATTCGATTTATTCTAGTTCATTTGTTATGCAAGAGAAACACGACTACCAATAGTACATACATATTGGAACCAATCACAGCGGTAAGGTGGTAAGTAAATCAGTGGCAGTTCATGCAGAGGTAAAGGTGGTGACTGTGATAGTGATGGATATTACCTGTCTGGAAGTCTTTCAGAGTTCTAGGTATCCTGACAGCCAATTATGCCTAATTTTGCTTGTTTCGGGTATCCGTCCCGCGCTCGCATAGCCGTATTGTCGAACACATAGTACCGCGATCCATCGAAAAACAGAGTTTCGCCTAAATGGAAGAACCCAGTGCCATCGGTCAACCATCGTAGAACAGACCGAGATCACCATAATGCAGTTAAATTGGGCTTTGCCCAGCCCACCAGGGGATTTCACTTAGGGGAGGTGTTCGTGTCCCTAAGAACAACGATACTATTTAGTAATCCCAGGTGGTATAGACTGGATTACTGAGCTTCACAGTAGCTAACTTTTCGGTGGAGCGCGATCTCATTAATTGAATTGAGAAAGGTGACCTTGGATTCTGCCTTAAAGCTTTTCGAGGTCAGGTTGCTATGCGACTTAACATTTGGGAGCGTGAAGTACTGCTACCTTAAATGTGTTGTTATTTGTTGATGTTTTGTCGCTTAGCGAATTGGGCTGAAATTGGCGGGATGAGGCGACTCCGTTTTCAATTTCCAGTACAAATTCTGTTCGGCTTTACCGGTATCAATGTAATATCGCAGGTAGTGCTGTAGGACAGATACTTGGTTAAGTCATCAAAAGAGCCACTTTCGGGTAAAATTCCATATGTGCAAACGCAGGGTTTCAGGATGATGTATAGACGTGTTATCGAATGTCGTAAGTCAACTGTGTGACGGCACTCACCTTTTGCAGGTTGACAAATATGGGTCCGTTATGATAAATAAGTATTCGAACAAGATGCAGCTTTGGAATTTTGAATAATTAGAAATGTTTTTTGGTATCGGTAGCTATAAATGGGACAAAAATTGTTTCGGCGTTTCTCCGCATAAATTTGGCTGGTTTTATACTTCGGCAGAGTATCTCATTGTATTGCAAACGGGTACAAAGTGCTCAGCATCACTTTTTATTCGGCATTAGCAGCCAAATCTGAAAGGATCAACGGCTTCTCACAAAGTATAAATTTTTGTAATGTAACTAACGAATATACTCAAACTACGAGGACCTTTGAAGCAAAAATTTAGCCCTTTATTTTCTAAAACACTCCTTTAAGTGCTTTAATCGATTATTTAACCTGAATGGCTTGACATATATAATGATCACTTTTTGCTAAAGTAGCTGTTCTGCAACACTATCTGCAATATTTCATTGATGTGGATAAAGTCTAACAGACTTCTTTGGAAATTAAATATGGAATGAATCTTGTCACAGCAGTTTCGGTCCTTATCCCCACTTTTGCTTGTTAGATTTTGGCTGCTTACCGTTAAGAGTAGTATAAGCAGTTGTGACAGGCGTTGGTATACCACGCCAAGTATCTTTGATCCGTCGCGGATAGTCGGGCCAGGGAGCCACCTTGCCGATGGGATGTTGAGCTTGTGGATCCAGCAGCCAATATTCATCTCCCGCGAAGATGTAGAATTCCTTGTTAACGTCCCACTTGAACACTGTGTCCACCTTTTTCAGGTTTGCTGGCAGGCCCAATTTCGTCAACGGTAAGCCGGATCGTGGACAGCCTCCCGCTAGACGCTTGTTGTCCACCAGCAACCAGAATCTGTTATCTGATTGTAAAAAAGGAAATTGTTGTGATGTATCTTCTGTGATTTATTCTATCTCCAAACAATGTGCGAGAGCGTAATTTTGGATTTGTCAATGAAGCCAGTCTATAAAACAATAGAGACCGCCGATTTTGCAGAGGGACAAATCGCTCCATCGATGCTTATTGGCCAACTTGGTGAGAGCTTTTCTGTGCTGTCAAGCGTTTGTTGATGTGAGGATCACGTCGTAGTCTACCTGTTCACATTTTTTTGGCTTACCCTAAGAATGCACATCAGTTGTAGCCCAGAACCAAGTTTGATCGCACAGTGCACCAGAACTGTCCTACTAGAAGTTAAGGGGTTATAACACCCTAAGCACAGACATATACTTTCGTCTGGTTCGCTTTCTCACGGAATTTAGATTTCATATAATTGATACAGCGCTGGGTACTCCAAGTAGCAGATGAATAATCTAATGCCATTCTGTCCTAACGATCAATAATCAGACTTGCGGTAGTGATTTCGAAATCAGGCCAGCAACGCGTGAATATAAATGAAGCCGATTTGCCGAACTTTTCAAAGACCACTCTCTTTTGGTCAGCATTCAAAAGAAATTCGTCGAATTTGATTTGAGGGCATTTTCGAATTTCCTTTCAACCCATGTTGTGTGGAAGGCATAGTGAGGGAAAAATATCAGTTCAGTGTAATTTCACTGTGGTGATTGAGCTTCACCACTTTTAGCCAGTCTCACAAAGTGCTTTAGCGGGTTTGCGTACAGGCAAGAACGCTTCCTCGAATGTTCCTTTTGTTTTACACACCCTTTTGTCCTCACCTTAATAAAGAATCAGGATGCAAATCTCATCTTTAACTATAATCTTAATACAATTTAGCTGCTGGGGAAGTTGATAATAGTGACACTTGATGAAGACAGTCTTAGTAACAACTGGTACGCGGTTCACTGCAAACCGAATTTTTCCTGTATACCAGAAATCCTATTCAGCTGGAGCATTGAATTAGTACCCACCGGAACACATGAACTGTGGGTTTTGTGGACACATGACGCCAAACATACCCTTTAATCAAAGTCAGTGGAAAGTTCGAAGTCTAGTTGTTGGAACGATGTTTGTGTGATTTTGCAGTGGACCTTGTGAAACTAAATCTGACATTTCGCAATGCCTTGGACCAAGCGTGTCACCGTTGTGTGAAATAGACAGGCGCATTCTTCTAGTGTTAACTATCTTGGTCTCTCGAGGAAAAGGTCAGACTCTAAGGGTTTTTTGCGAATAACATTGACTCGATTGACGACAGAACTTTCACGAGGGATTCCGGGCTGCGCTGATTAATTCCTGTGATTCACTTAGCAGGAATTTCAATGTACAATCTTCACTTCTGCCAACCGTGGTCTATCAGACATAGCGTTAAATGATATTTACAGAACAATGATCAGAAGCATGATTTGTTCTGTTATCGGTGAAAAACTACGTCACTAAAAAATGAAAGGTGATGAAGCGAACTCTCACAGAGGCAGCGACACAAGTGATCGCTTATTATCCGCCCATTGAACTTCCTTTACTCTAGCGCAAAACTGGTCGGTCGTGGTTTGTATTCTGCTTAAACCTCTATTCCGAGCTTACGAAGTCGGTCTTCCTTAACCGAAGAACGACGGAGTCAGGTGTGATAACCAACTACTAAAAGAGTGTGATTAAGTCTTACCGACTTTCTAATAGATTTTTTTTATTTATAAACGGAATTGTACACTTCATAGATAATTTTTAGGCTTATAAATGAAGAATTTATGCTTTAAGTAATGTATAAACAAGAAGACTCTGGTTTCCAAAGCTTGTTATGTCAGGCTGTATTGCAATACAAAATTTAAGCCAAAGAAATGCCAAAAATCTGAAATAGTACAAAAGCCAGCTCTGACTCCAGTTTTCGATTGATTTGATTACTTATTTTTTAGTATTTAGAGTGGTAAACTTCATGTTGGTAAGATAACGAGTGGTACGGCATGGCTTGTTAGAATTGGCCATATATTTGCACAATAACTTTAGCTATTAACTTAGACAGGAGTTGAATATCGATTAGTGATTAATTGCCATGTTCAAATATTTTTAAATCAGAGATTAATGAACCTTTTCGTGAACTTTCTGCTAATGTTGTAGTGATAAATAAATAGACTTTACTCCCAAATCATGTTTTACCTTTGAAAATGTAAATTATTGAGTCGTTCCGTTCAATTGCAGCATCAATATGGTCTACATCTGGAGGCAGAACATTCCAATAGTAGGCTATTTTGGTCGGTCCATCTCTCAGCTGATATGAAATCCAATTGGACACGGTCTTGGACCAGGTCACTCTCCACTGATACTGAAATTCATAAAATTACGCGAACTTAACACTTTGCAACGAGAAAGTGCAGTGCACGGCCATACCCACTTACCTCTCCTTTGAAAATGTAAAGTTCCAGTCCGCGAACTTCGATTATTGCGTCAACGCTAATGTTGCAGTAGTCAAACTGAGTAGTTATGTCGGGTGCCACTGTTGTAGTCTCAGCTGGCGAATAAACGAGATTTTTATTATTTTGCGTTTCCAAATATTACAGAATTCTAAAAACACTATTCTAGTGGCTGCATATTGCTAACATGAATCGTAAATATGGGTTTTCAAAATGGTGACCCAATATAAGACTTCTAAACCGGTACAGAAGCGTACAATATAGTCAGGCACTACATGGTGCCTTCTTTGTCGTTGATTATAAGAAAAAAATCAACTTGGTGATTGTAACAATAGTGAATTGTATTCATTGTAAATGAGATTTTGTCGTTTAAAAGTCGTTTTTTCCTGTTCTGTGAACTTCACACTGAGCCATGCAATTGCTCACGAGTTGCGCTTCATAGATACAAAGTTCTCTTTCTCTTTAAACTTTTGTTAAAAATGAAGGAACAAAATTGCGATAAGGATGCTAAATTCTCATCAAAATACATAATCAGACCCAATAGGTCCATGTAAACACCACAAAGTTGCTGTGATTAAGTAAGCTGCACATGCATCTATTTTTCGCAGCTTATTATTCATAAAACTGGTGTTTTTTGTGGTTGTTTACCTCTCTTCTGGAATTTTATTTTAGACTTCCTTTTGTGCACCTATAAATCATGGCTGTATCTAGCTCAAAAGACACGATCTAATTGGCCATTTCGACGATCATTCAAATTGATTTTTAATTTTTGGAAAACGCCAGGTGATCCAGGTCTCTTCCTCAATCACAATCGCATCAAAATAATTTACCCCATCCTTGGGCCGAATTCTAAGACGAATAGCAGAAATTCGACTGGACTAAGTTACACGCAAACACATTGTGTCCCACTAAGTTATGAGCACACTTTGACTCAGGCGTCGTCACATTTGCGTATATGGAGCTATGTAATTTATCATCCCTGTTTGCAGTGGCATCGACCTTAAGTTGATGGAAATAATTTTATTTACTAAATACTAGTATGTCATTTTCCATAACATTCGAGCAAACATTTGGAACGTAAGTTAAATTGACTTTGGTAATTGGAGCACTAAGAAAGTAGAGATCGATGTTTAGCGATGCTAAATAAACTGGCTTGTTATCTTGTACAAGCACACACCACTACTGCATCAGTAAATAAGTTGAGCTACGCGCTATCTTCATCTCTACTCTCTCTATTCGGTCGGATTTTATCAGTGCATATTGTCGGCCTTAATCGGTTCTCAAACCGCATCGGGCCTGCAGCATACTTGTTTTGGCTCTCGTGAAAAAAAAACATGCTCATCAACCATTTTTTATTCCCAATTTAAAACATTTATTGCAAGGTGAAGTAATCAAAATAGGGTAATTGGTAAATGATCTGCCTTTAACTGAATCTGGTGATGCCCAAACCAATGGACACGGTCAATCGCATTCACAATACGAAGCAACTGACAAATTTGTCACTTGGAAGTGAACCATTCAGGGATATACCTACATATTTAGTTTTAATTAATCCACATTGCTTGCCTAGGTTAAGTTTTAATCCAAATGGTTAGATAAATCACGTTAACAGCTCTGAACATGAGGCATCGCATTGTAGTCTTGAGAGGTGCTCAGACTGAAATAAACTACTTTAACCGCTTAACAATCACATAAGTAAGAGAAATTGTAGAATTAGGTATGCATTCAGTGTCCACACTTGTTATATTTTCCCAGCTTCCCATTAGACCTTTGTCATATCTTTTGTTAACTGACCTTGCTCGAGCTGCTCACTATTTACCTTTATGCACAGATCCTACCCTTGACAAAACATACAAAATAAATGAACTATTCATTCATCCACTTCTCAAAAATTCGATCCCCTAACGCGACCAAAAGTGAATGCGCCTCACCTTCCCGCTCATCTCTTCCTTCCTGTTCATCTTCTCTCACAGCTCTTTGTCATCCTCCTGCTGTGGTTGACATGACGTTCAGAAAAACGACTACTACTATGCAAGAAGAGGCGAAAGGTCCAAACATTGCTGCCTCTCGTAACACCGCCGGGCGTCAGTTTACGCAAGTAGCTCAGTGACCATTATTTGAATTTGCCACTAGAAAACTTTTTGCACCGAACCACCTTAATTTTAAGTACACTTCTATTCATAAAAACGATGTAGAGAGTTAAATCCAGCAATCACTCTATTATGGTCCTTTTAGGGACAATTAACAATCAAGTGCAACAGGAAATACATATTTATCATATACTGACTAGATGAGAACTGGCCTCTTCAATATCTCGTCGACCTATTAACAAGAAGCGCCTCGGTTAGAACATACACGGGTCTGATCATTCCGTCATAGGATATGACTTTGCTTTCTTAAATGAAATGCGTAATTTGTTGTACGTAATTTGTTCGCACGATACCCACGCGACCGTCTACTGATTTACGCAAGCATTCACTGCTTATCCGGTAATTGAATTCACATGACATTTACGTGCCAAATTTCGGAAATCACACTGTCCGCGACTGGCGTTCACTGCCTACGCATGAAAAGCACGCCCTTTTGACTCTGCACCGCACACACTGATTCATTCGCTGACTTGTTTGGCCTTACCTTCACGGGACAAGCCTCTGCCCACAATATTTATAATTTAGAACGAATTCATCGATTTACTAAATGGTTTTGCGATGTAGAGAGTAAAATGATAATGAAAATAATTGGGGACCTTGAGTGCCGAAGATGCATGTTTAATAAACGGAAATTCTCACTTGAAAGATTTGGGAATGTCAAATCTCCCTACTAGGGAAATGCATTCATATATTACAAAAGTAACCTCAGTAAATCATCGTATAATGACGGGGTATTATTTCTAATCTCTAATTACAACATAATTCCTTGTTACCAAACCTACGTCATCAGATAAAATGGAAAACGGATTTAAAGAAGTCAGAATAATTAGATACGAGTAACAAGGACTATTAGAAGTGTGCTTAGTCCTTGATTCTTCAAATTGAGGGTGATTTGACCTGGTGTGTATTTACGGCTTCCAAATAAAAGGAACTGCAGTGGTTCACTACGTTTGGGTGGGAAGTAACTAAGGTGAAATGCCCCTGCGGCAACGGCATCTGCCGACTTAATCGTAAACAGTGAAGTATGTTTAATAGTTGACTTGGTATCCGTTTCCATGGTTAGTTATTCGAAAACAAGCTATTCTGCCGAGAGCCTACATGCCTTTTGCCCTACTTCAAAATATTTGCAAATTTGACTGGAATGAGATAAATTTTTATGTGTAATTAGAACTCTGAAAGATTGTGTTCTGTAGACTCTTTCAGCTTTATGTACCGAAGAGGATAATTTATGCTAATTCCATCACGGTTGGTATTTTCGCAGACTTTGAGATCCTTTTATAGAAACTACCAGTATTCTAAAGGAAAAGAATCCGTACTTACGTATCAACGGAATATCAGGCAGATCGGGGATGGCGGGTAAAACCTTTCCGGGTTTTGGCGCACCTCAAGTGAGAAATAATGGCTCGTAGGAAAGTCATCTCATAAAAAAACACATAAGAGTGACTTGAAGAGAACTTACCATATATCTTTTGCATCCCGTTGATATCGTCCTGGTCAAGCTCCACCCGTTTCCACTTTCTTAAGTAGTAGGGGAACATGACCGACGTGGGCACGGATGAGTGACCCAAGCCCATGCTGTGGCCCAGTTCATGGGTTGCCACCGACAACAGGTCTCGGTGTTCTTCAATTTTCAAGAAACATAAAGTTACGTGGGATTATAAGCCGAATACAATGACGCTTCACATGGCATTGAAAAAACTATGAAATGTATTTTTTTTTATTTTAGTCATTTTGTTAGGTTTGGCTATGCAAACAGGCAAATTTTAATATTTTCACAGTACTATGGTAAATTACACAGGCTAATATCCTTAGCGGTTTGTTTGACCTTTTTCTTATTTATTCTGTCCTGATCCGAGGTGGACTGACGGGTCCGAATCTGTTTACCAAATCCAAATATTTTTTCCCGTATTACCCTTAACAGATGAAGCAAGTGCCACAAGTATTTTGCGGAGAAAGAACATTTTGAGGCGCTATGAAAAACATAGCCACTTATCAATCTAGGGTGCATTTTATGGTGCTCAATTAGACATTTGTAACTCGCGAAAAAAAAATTATTTTCCCTAATTTCCACTAACATTTGCAAAGAGCAGCTCACCCTTGTGGGGTCCATCTGACCAGTTTTCCTCGTCATCGAAATGCGCATCTCCGGCGAGAGAATACACCGGCTCCGGCATGGGGTAGAAGGCGTGGGCAAGAACACCACCTAAATTTCAGAGTATTCAAGGCCGTGATGATAAATGAAGCGAGAGAAATTGAAAATCATGTAATAGTTTTCTGTCCATTGTTTGTAATGAATTTTTTTCTTGTGTTTATAACCCAATATAAATCGAGTTGCAATTTTATTTTTATAAAATCTGTGCTTTTAAATAACAAAGCTTTGGCCTATTGTAGAAGGCTTGGCAAAATCACTGTAATGTGCTGAGTCACACGGAGCGAAGATTCCGTGCCTATGGTCTATGATGTTGGGTGTATTTACGTGTGACTAATTGTGGGGGCGAATGTCAAGCTCTACTGCAAGGATTGTGATTCTAATTTAGGTATGGTCTATGGACCCGCGCAGCAAAACTTGTCTGTCATGCTAAAAACAGAGACTGCATTACCTGGACCGTCGAAGGCAATGGAGTCTCCATGACGGCGGGACCCAAACTTTATGATGATGTCCGCATCCTTATAGTAGTCTTTCTCCTCGACAAAGTCCAAGTCAGCCACGCTCGACCATTTATTGAAGGCGTGCTGGAAAACGGCGTGAGTTTGCGACCTGTTTAAGTGATGAGTAGGATAGCTTCGAACCCTAAAACAAAATTCGCGGTCTATTTTTGAAATAAACTAAATATTCAACAGGCTGACTAATTTTCTATCCATAACCTCGACCCTTGTCTTCACCTGATTACGCAAGTGAAACGGGTTGCCTGATGTGCTCTGGCTCCCTGGCCTACTGGCTAGACATAAACCACCTTCGCTCGGAGTTCATCTCTTTGTAGATAAATCTTAGTAAGAACGTTGATTTCATAACGCTAAATCATTGAGGTCGATATGTGCACAGGTCATGCTTTGTCGGAGGTGATTTAATAAATGGTAGTACTTAGCCGCATAAATGTGACTGAATTATGGAGTGCTGCATCGTTTAAAATGGTACAAAACAAAAAGGTAGTAGCCTTCATTAAGCTGGTTTTCCCGACATGACTTTATTTACTGTAGCATACATTAGAGTCCCCTAAGGCGGTTATAATTACGATCAAAACTAAAATGAGCGTACTCTTTCGTGGCAGATCCCAAACTCAAAATAATTTATTTTTTGATTTATTTATAAACCCCAAGTGTAGGCAACAGTTTCAGGCATAAGTCTGTTCCACTTCACTGATTCTTATCGTGTCAAGTTTTAGTTTCGTCATGGCATTTGAAACACTAAGCATCGTAGAGGAAATAGGCAGTTTAGAGAGATTCTCCCTCAGAGACCTCAGTACAGCAGCTGTGGTTCCGTCTCGGTAAAATTCATAACCTCGACGTGAAGCCACTGACCTTTTCACCTTTGTCCACTCAAATAACTGGCCATGTTGCCAACATCCCTTTCCTAATTAAGTTTACCCTTTCACTTGGACAGCGGGTCCTTAAACAGGTTTGCACATCGCCTAATTTCATGTCCATCGTAACGTAGTACAAAACCGTCTTCGTTTTAAACACTAGCTTAAGGTCAGCAGAAATTGTAGAATCACCTGTCGAAAACCTGTCACAATGTCAAACATTCAGTTCACACAACAATTTGGGTCTTAGCAGAGGTTTCATAAACGATTTAGGAAAATATTTCATTATCAGTGCATGTGTTACAATAGTTATCAACTTACTGCCAAGTTATTTTCTTCTTTGCCCAGCGCATTTTTGGGTCACCAATTAAGTAACGTTTACTTCGTCGGAGATCGCGTCGGCTAAATTTCGTTCGTCTGCCTGGCGGTGAGGGTGTCTTGGTGAAGTCGATGTCAGGGTTTCCACACCTCGCTGCAGAAAGCAGCTCTAGCGTCTCCGAGTCCAATTTCCCAGTCACTGGAAGGGAATATCGCGTCTGAAAGGCTCGCACGGCATCGTGGTATAGGCGGTTGGAGTCGATCATGGCGTCTGGATCATCAGGGTGATTATGGAGAATCCGATTGGAGTCGGGTATAGGATCAGCAAAATTCATTCGTTTGGGAGGGTTTAAGTAGCCGTAACGGTGCAGAAGATGCTACAGGTTTACAAAGCCTTTTAGTAGTCAAGCTGAACATTATGCCCTTTTTAGGGTGACTAAAGTCCATCTTGTTTAAATCTGTGGCCCTTTTTTTTAAAATACCTTTTGGAATTTTGATGTTGATTAGTCTCGTAAGACTGTTAATGTTGTGCAGTCAAAGCAAGGGATTATTGCACTAATAATGAATGCGTGTTTCAGTGAGTGACATTTTATGATCCACGTCGATGGTGAGATACACGAAAAGTGTTCTTTGCTTTCGCGAGGTGCGCGTTTCTTTGATAAACGATCAGGAGTGAAATTCAGTTTGTCACACAAATGATCTCTGCAAATATCTCCTACATGGCGGTAAGTGTGAATATCAGAAAGCCGAAGAAATGAGAGAGGCGATGTTTGTCTCAATAATTGCATTGAATAAAATCGTACAAATGTGCGAAATACAGGCATCTCGTTTATACGAAACTTCTCGGACTTCGCTTGAATTTTACAAAAGGCATTTAATAATTATATTTTCAATGTTGGAACTTTATGCAGGCTAATTGTGTGGACAATCTTAATATGTTCGAAAAAATTTGGACGATTGTGTAAAAGCTTACCATGGCTTGCTGGGTGCTTATCTGAGGCCTCTTTGACGTGCCTGGAAGGGCAACATTTGGTGATATGAACATAAATGCCAAAAGTGCAATGACTAGGGACGCTCTGGCGGTTTGTGTCCCCATGGTGTCGAGTTGCATGGCGTAATGAAGCCAACGCATGGAACACATGCTTTTAATCCTGCAGTGTTGGTGGCTTTCGTCAGGATCGCGTACGTCGCTATACACACATGATGGCAACCCGGTCCTACGTCACAAGTATGGGGGTGGATCGCGAACTGGTCCACATACGCGCTTTCAAAATAAATGGATAAGCCCACATTTAGGGTGACACTCGAATTTCGCGGGATTCTTTTTAGCCAATCAGACAAGGCTCATGTTTCTGTGTCCTCCAATTGGTCAAAATCTGTCTTGTGGCTCCGAACCTTGCTCTGAATGACTACAGCAGAAACTGAAGCCTAGTGTTTTTCATTATTCTCTAAGGTTTTTTCACCCCTGAATGCTGGACAAAAGTTTTCTAGGCTCCTTACTACTTGGACAGGAACCAAAATTATTAATTTGCACATGACTACATAACGGCCTAAGGCTGGAATCGGGAAGCAGCCAGCCAACATGTATTTGATTACACTCGTTTAATCTATCATTTTACAGCGGTTTTTGTGCAAAATACCCCAGTCCAATGGACATTGAACCTGGCTAGTTTTCTAATGAATCACAGTGGTGGAAAAACTATAGAGAGCAAACTTATAAATAATCAGGTAAATAAGCCGATTCGTGTGATGGGTAAAACGCCAAGCTGGATTAATTAGGCTTAAGAAATCTGACTGAAGCGTTTCAATAAGCTTGCCCAAGGCACCAAAAACTGGACGAACAATGTGGGCTTAGAATAAATCTAGTTTATGTACACCAGTTGATGAAATTCTGGCAGTTTCTTGAGGTCGGAGGAATTACGTGGCGCAATGAATCCAGTCCTATCAATTGACACTTTTTGCAGAGGGTTTGGAACTGCAGTGACAGCGTAAAGCACCAAGAGAACTATTGCAAAAAATTAGGGTTTCATCGTCTATTGTTACTCTGAAAAATTTTGGCATGGCTAGTTTGTGCTTGAATCACAACTTAAGAAAGTTTCTGGTGAGGTTACTACCCAAAATGAAAGGAAAACAGAAATATTTTCGGATGGACTTGAAACTAGCTCATTCTTAACATACGTTTTGCAGTGGTTTCTGATTGGTCTCTGTCGAAGGCCGTTTTGACGTTAATTGGGTTTCGTAGATCCTTCCTTGATTGAATTTTATTTTCCCAGAGTTCACATGGTAATGTTTGTCTCCTCTACTAGTGAAAAGAATTCCATTTGCGTGTCTTAGTGCCTCTGCTTTACAGTAGTAATGGTCAAATTACTAGAGATTCTAACTTTTAAGCAGCGATTGAATGCCTGGAGTGGATGACGCCTAGCTAATTTCATTTTTAGTCAGAAACTACTTGCAAATAAATAGCCTCACAATTTGCGTTTTTTAGAGCACTTGAATTTAACGTGTATACAATCAGTGATTTCCAACGATGTTTCTTTTACTGATTTTTCTTTTACAACCAAAGTTCTTTGAACTGAGTTTCATAGTTTGGATGGAACTCTTGACTGTAGGGCTGGATTACTGAAAGCACACATCAACAAATGAACATTACTTTTTGCATGAACTTAGGCCTGCATTGTACTTTGCCCGAACTTTGACAAATGTCAGGTTCTTTCTAGAGCATGAAACTTCTGCTTACGTAAATGATCGAGATAGTTTATGTTTGCAGAATTATTTATATTCGCCTGCCTTCCAACACGAAAAAAGCACTTTAAAAGGCGTTTTATCAAGTGCCGAAGTAGCTACAGCCGTACCAGTAGAGTCGCCCGGGTATAAGTGGACAACATTTATGGTCGTCGGAAAATACCCAAGTGAATTAGTGCAAACCACAGACCATTAGGAACTGCAATCACTGATTTTATGGGATGAAGGACCTTTGCGTCACCCATTTGAAAGATTTCGAATAATACATAAGCAATAAAGCCTATGCCTACACAACACCCACTTCGACCCATCACTGAGCTCCTTTCCCGACTGTGCATGGGCTGTTTTCATCTCACATCCGCGGACCGGCTAAATTTCCCTCCGTTCACCATGCAGCAACCCAGCACTGATAGCAAAAAGGCGAGCTGAGACGCGGCTTACCACTGTGCACGTTGTGTCGGGCCAGCCTGTATGTCTGCTCTTTCAAGACAAGTCCGAACCCTGACATATGTTATGAAAAGAGTTTTTTTCACAATTAACTGAATGATCCACCTGATGCTGAAGCAATGTGGCTAGAAGGCACCCCCACGTTGGGTGTTGTTCTTTGTCATTGGCGACCAACACATACTTAAGCCAACAACTGGCCGTCCTTATGGCCCCGCCTATTTCCCAGCACTGATGAGCGTCGTGGGGTAGCACATCAACAAAAGCAACTTCGCTCTCAAAAGTCCTTTGTTTCTGCTTAGAACAAATTTCATTTTGGGTAAACAAAGAAAAATAACCTGAAAATACAGACCTGGAATGTACACAATAAACAGAACTTAGAAGAGAGAACTTTTCAGAGGTTGAATTACTCATCTTTCGTATCGAAGTGTGGCTGTGGTTTCTTAAACGAAGACAACGAAAACGTTCATGAGATATGCAAAGTGAGAGGTGATTTATAAATGTACATTTATACAGCGGCATTTTAAGTGTTCAGATGATGAAACTGTAGTTTTCCTGTTGTTTCCGGCAGTTGATCTAGATCCCTAAAATAAAACAGTGCTTGCGTTATGCCTCTTCAAATATCATCCAGTCTTAATTCATAATTTCATAGAATGTATTTGCACTGAAAGGGTGTGTTTTCGCATAATTAAGCTTCTAGTGTCGAATGCCAAAATAGACAAACTTCGAAGGTGGTAATTGAAGGCTCAATAACTATAAATGTTAATAATTCATTATGTATAAATGTGCAGCATCAAATACTATTCTACTTAGTTGCAACTGGTCACGAAATTGATTCCAAATTAGGCCATCATAAGTTTATAGACGAGGACTCTGAGGCTCTGGTGTATGTCACATCAGAAAATTGTCCCAATCTCATTTTTAAACATGGAATCCGTTTTACTATAAAGGTTTCAGTAGCAACAGTGAATGAGAAACAAATATCCATGCTTACTTGAAATAGGCCTGTTAAGCTCGGAGTCCATTCTGTTGACTTAGTTGTGATTTCTTCGAAAGTGGCGATAGGGTGTGATGAACTAATCCGCATGATGTATCACCTGGTGGGCTAACGTCTAGGACATAACTTTTGTCTGCATCACTGGCAGCAAGGTTCTCATGATCTGGGTAACTATTCGCGATCGTTGGGTGTGTAGTGAAATACGAAGTGGATCCTGATATTATTTCTGCGGCCTTTTCTCCTAAAGCAAGTTAAGAAATTCGAAGTTACATTAAATTAAACGTTGAAAATGTCTGATTTTTTTAATGGATGTACTCACCACACAGAACAAATGGTAACATTTTTTCACAGAAAATGAATCTGTATTATCATTAGTCGAGAGAAAATAACACTACGAAACTCTCTGGGTCTATCACTAAAAATGAAATTTCCCATAACGCCTGATAAAGCAATAAATGGAATTCTTCAGTAGCTTTGAAAGTAGTTCATAACATTCTGAGAGCCCACGAGGCCAGGTGCTGTAGGTTAATTAAAATTAGCCAACCCTATTAGCCTGGTTAAAGACAACAAAATATGGTCCCGAAATAGTGTAAATTATCAGTGTTTCTTTTCAAGGCCTTTCATGCAGGAATTAATGCGGAGGAGTTGCTGTTTAACTTCATCATCCATGTTTGCAATTAGTTCGCAAAAAGGGCAGTTTCAAGTCGATTCCCCATATCCAATAAGACATGACGATTTATCGGTTACTTTATGTAGTATAATTAAACACGTCACTGATTCCCATATCGAAGTAATGAATGATCTTAGAAGTTAATGAAGAATAGATTGTGAATTTGGAATCTGGTGGATGGTTTGTAGGATTAGGAAGCTAAAATCTACCATTTGCGATTCGACTTTGTGTTAAAATTCGTAAGTCAGGTATTCAATTAATCGACCTACTAGGACTTGCGAGGTTGAAATCTAAAGCTGCTAGCGGACGGAAAAAACAATTTAGGCATTTAGATGTGCTGTTTTTTTGCGAAACCACAAAATAAAACAACCAACAACCGTTTTTAAAAAAAAGTTTGAGGAATTAAACATCGAAACCCAATGTGCTAATGATGGTTTATACATAAAGGCTCTTACCAGAAGAACAACATCCTCTTTCCGCACCACCACCACCACCGCCATCATCATTACTTGCAGGGTCAGATCCATTAATGAAAGGTAGTGGTGTGACTCCTTCTTCTCTTTCCCCCCCAGACCAGAGGGTTCGATTCCGCTCGCAAAACTCAAAACCACCCAATCTTCGTTGTGCCAAGAGGCCCTGATAGCAACCCTGCATCGTGGCTTCGATATTCGTAAGCGCCTCGTACTCCTGAAAGTGCACTGGCGGCGGTGGCAGTGGGGGAGGAGGAGGTAGTGGCGGAGGTCCAAGGGGCTCGTCTGAGGAGGGGTTGCGTCTTGATGCCAGTAATCCCCCATACTGGTTCATCAGGGCGTCGGTAACAATGGCTTCGGGAATGGGCTGGAATGATCCCGACACGGGCACGGAAGTGGGTCGACTAGTCTGGTAGGGAGGTGGCCAGGTGGAAGGCAAGGGCGCAATCGGAGGGTGTGACGTGGGGGAGACATCGGGCGACTGGGATACTGGAGGGTTTGTGCTGCCAGAAGGTTCACTGTTCACAAGAACAGCTTGTTTGAACATGGTTGAGTGAGTGAGGTCCTCCATGCAGTAGCCACCTAAGGAAAAAATGAATGAAGTTTGAAACTTTTTTGTGCTCATTATGTTACGTTATTCGAATGCATACCCTTTTTACCGGAGAGGTTTATTTGTTGTTAAAAAAACTGCCTTTATGTTGTGCAAATTAACCTCACTCCCAGACAAAGCGTTGTCTAAAACCCCATGCCTATTTGCGAATGGCGATAATGCTCACCCGAGTAGACACTGCTCTGTCCAGACGCGGCTCCAATGCACCCGGTTGGGTGGGGTGGCAAGCGACTCGTCGCCGCAGGACTGCCGACATCGAGCTCAGGCGAGAGTTGCGCCGCCGCCCTGCTGCACGCCGCGTGCAGCAGCGAGAGGGTCGGGGGTGTGGAGGACTGAGGTCCCTTGGTGAACGCCATTTGACCCGACTCCAGCCCTCGTGTCAGGCAGTTGACACCTATGGAGGGCGTTTTAAAGGCGGAGCTCATGCCACTGCTAGTGGTGTTGGTGTTTCCGCCACCCGTCTTTTTGCGCTTCTTCCACTTAGCCCGGCGATTTTGAAACCACACCTTGCAGAAAGAACAGCACGCTAATTATGAATCCCTTCATCCGAACACCTCAACTCTGTGACTATCAAGGGAACCTTAACAAAAGCAATTGAGCCACTAAATCATTGAGATCGCCCGTGCTTGCATGAAGAAATTGTAAAAATTGATTACTATAGTATAAAATGCGGATTACATTGAGTTTAGATATTAAGTACCGTGCGTGGAAAGCACCGATACCGCGTTTAAGTGGTTACTATCCAACGCTATTTCAAACTAAACATTATATTTGGAATGGGAAAGCAGAAATAACGGATGTTGGGTGCGTCTTCGTCTGAAATCTTTTTGACTATTCAATAACAAATAATAGCCTAATTTTTATTGTCGCTCGAAAGCGATTGAAGTTAATTAAGTTCTTTGTTCCATCGCATGATTTAAATCCTCCTTTGCGAAACCAGCCCATAGGCACGTCCGCGAAGGCGACTGAGCTGATGAACAGGCTGTTCGACATCGACACAATAGAAGGGGGCAGGTGAGATAACAGGCTGTCAGACGCCCTGTCTCTCATTTCCGATGGGGCAGAAAAGTCCCCAGAATACAATTCAAGGTGAAGATTTCGCAGAGAAACTTGATTTAAGCTCGTTTAGTAGGTGGAAATTCGTGACTTTAAATGCGCTTTGGGACACAATTCGAAGTTGTCATTCAGGCACGGTTGACTCCTGAAACAACGTAACTTATATCCGAGCCGAGCACTAAAGTGTTGCACAACGAGAGACATCTTCCTTTCCTATCTTTAGGCAAATATTTCCAACTCACCCCATACGCGGATAATGATGGTTGCGTTGTCAATTAACCCTGGTGACTCGCTGTTTCTAACCAGGACGAAACTTGATAGTCTTTCTAGGGCCCTTTCGGGCTAAAACCCAGACAGGTTTGAACCTTTGTTTTGCCAGGTTATTGGCACACATTGGCACTACATTAATATGATTGCGCATCCCTAATTCAGATTCAGACCTTCATTTATGTTCGACCGTACTGGTGAAATGGACATGTTTGTAAATTCACAGTATCAAACCCTAATGAGAGGGATAGTCAACAGCTCAGAAGTGTTTCGTCTAGTCTAGGCAGCTGAATGAGAGGGAAAGGGGGGTGAGTAATCGTGTTTGAGGCATCAGCCGCACAGTGCACACACGGAAAGTGGGAATGGGGAAATTCGACGGTAGCTCTCCACTTTGAAAGGCAGTTTAGGAACTGTTGGCCTCATAACCTCCAGCTTCAATGTAAAAACGACTGAAATGAGAAAATTCGATGCTGGAAAAGGGATTTAGCGGACTCAGGTTTAAAACGGAGATGCGACATGGCTAAGCCTTGGGCCGAAGTCATTGAGAGTCACACGTCAACATGTTTTTTTCTTTAAAAAAATCATTGGTCTTATTAAGGTGAGAAGTAGCTTCTGCATTTGACTTCTCGACACCACATGAATTTAGAACATACCTTGGCAGTATTTTGTAGAGCTTAGTTCACGCGACACCCAAAAATCATTTTTTATTCAACCGAAAACATATTCCACCTGCTTTGCCCAGTTTATTTCGGTTAACCCTACTGATTTCGGCAGATTTTAAAGTGAAACTTCGTGTGATTGTTTGGTGTTTCACTCTTCTCAAAACAGTTAACTACAAGTACCAAAAAATCCTAGTGAGAAATTCATTTGTAAGTAGAATTCTGTGGGGTTTTCAAATAGTAAAATAAACACTTTAACTGAGTTACTTTGAAGGGACAGTACAAACGATGAAATTGCAAAAGTGGCATAATCCTCAGTTGGGAATTCCCCTACTAACTTGTGTCAAAAACTGCTGGGTTTTCGAATGCGGCTGATGGAAAAATTGACAACACTTACTACTAAAAGCATAATAGTACTATAGGTGATCCACAAATGCTTATGATGCCAGAAGTTGTGTGCTGAGGATAGATGTTGTGACAGCTGATTACAGCATCTCCTGCCACTTCTAGAAAACAAATTTGCTTCAGATCTAGAGGGCGTAGAATCGCTCTTATAGCGTCTGACTGAATTTAATTGTGTGCATGTCTATTTCGCAAGTTTTGCCCTAGATCAGGCAGTGTGCTAATAAACACTCTCAAAGGCGGCTGTGTTTGGAGAATTCAATGCCTGCAAAGTGAAAATGAACGCGTGGCAGGTACTAATTGTAGGTATTTTAACTCGGCACTCCCCCACTTTCAACTTCAGGTTAGTTGATGTTAATCGACACCACATTTTCATTGCTTACTTTCAAGCAGCTTTATGGCTTACTTTCATTTCTCATGTCTGGGACCAATAATTACAAAAAACAGGTTGTATAGTTTCGTTTTAAGCTTTAATGGCAACTTCGAAAATGTGGCTGATCTTTTTTGAACCATCTTTCCTAAAAGTTGGCAAAAACAAGCAATAGCATGATCAGCTCTAAGTTCAAAAGCCAATTCGATGTTTTTCAAGGACGCTTACACAAAGATGGTGCTCATAAGAATAATTTAGTCATATTTAGATGTCGTAGCAATCAGTTTAAAAAACTGGAGCTGGACGCGGCTGCAGCATAACCCCACTTCCTAACAGTCAACAATCATCAGACGGGACCACTCCGCCTATGTTCACTTCGGCAGCCTGGACGCGAGGGGAGGGGGAGGCGATGGGAGAGCGGTTCAGTCGGGAGCACGCATGCGCGCACGCGCACATCATTTGAGAATAAATCAAGAGTGCGCAAGCACGCGTGCAGTTGTTTGGCCTGCAAAACGCCTCCTAATCACTTGGGCAAGGCAGCGAGAACACCGTGACACAACCCGCCCGAGCAAAATTGTTCTGCCTGTGGGCACGCAGCTGAACGACAGCAAACCGCGGGAACACACGTGTTCCTCCCCCCGTCCCCAGGTCCTGCCCCCTCGCTTCGGCGTACACGCTCACACGAGAGATTGCCCTTGCGTGATATACACCCATCTTTGCAAATTCATTGTCTGGGTGCTTGCATTTTCGCCAAAAACGCAAAAAAGTGGAAACTAAAACATGGCGAGTAGTGTGCTTAATTTTAGCCTCCGGTTAAGGATACGTATGCAGGTAACCGAGCCACTGATTTACCAACGTGCACTTTTTTGCAAACCCACTGCGTCATAATCGTTATGTGTATTTTAAGACATTACAATATTTTACACAAATATCGAAAGGAGTCTGCTTGGTTCGCTGATCCTTGCTGTCAAACTCAACAAGGTAAAAAATGGTGTGTCGGTGACTACAAGTCCGTCCAAATAATTATCGCAGCTGATTTTCCCGAGCAAATGTTTGAGTGATGAAGCCATGCTGTTTAGTGAACTGCATATTTGAATGTTTGTTGTGTGTCTGAAATGCCGCAAAATTGCTTCCAATGAAAGTTCACTTCGACGTGGAAATTAGGAGAGAATTTTGAGCTCCAAATTAAGTGTCATGTTTTTACGGTAGCCATTGATTTACAGATTTGCCAAAAAAATAGCTTATTCGATTAGGTTTCTGAGATTAGAGGCCAAACGTCATTTTTTCCTGAGAAAATATTACTCTGTATTTATGATTTTATACGAACGTACCTGCACTCGGGATTCCGTAAGCCCAATTCGTAAAGCCAACTCCTCCCTCATGAAGATATCAGGGTAATGCGTTTTAGCGAATACCCTTTCTAACTCATTCAGCTGGCCTGGAGTAAACCTTGTTCGATGGCGTTTTTGTTTTGCTGATGCTGCTGCTGCAGCCGCAGCTGCCATGGCAACGCTGTTTACCGCAGGATTTGTCCCGTTGTCTGCATGGGCATCATAACCAACCAGGGAATGGTAGGTATCGAAGTTCGGGGTCCCCTTTGAGAAGGGCACTCGTGAATATGTGTCTTCGTCGTCACCGTCGTCCGTGTTCACGTTCTCCTCGTCGTAGTCATTGTGACCGTTGCTGCTATTGGCGGCTTCAAGCTTGGAGAAGCTCGGGTGACCAGTTCCAAGGCCAATGGTTCTCTTTAGAATGTCAGTGTATATGCGACCTAATGCTGACTCTGCTGGCTGCTGGGCCTGTTTAAGGTCTCTTGGTGATTTATCCGGGTCGCAATTCGATGTCTAAAGTAGGACATAGTATGTAGTTTGTGGTTTGATTTATACTAGTGTTCACAGTGGACTGCAATGAATACGGTTTATGAGGTGTGAAGTTAACCAAGGGAATTGGTACCCTCATTTGTCTAAGGCCTGTACTAGACGGACTCTAGCACAGTTTGTGTATTTTAACTATTACTGCCGTAAGAGAAGCCGACAATATGTTTGTTAAACTGTCGGATCCCATCATTTCCTGATTGCAGAAACCGAAGTTAATCAAGTAAACCGCATTTATCGAACAGAGCTACCTAACTACTAGAGGATAATAATTACATTCAGTGCATTCGATTGTCATCCACCCTCTTACTCCTTTCAAAACGTCGATTAGGTTTTTACCATATACATTTCAACTTGGGTGGTAAGCCGCTAAGAAGGTGTACTCGAAATCATTTTGGTGCAAAATAAAATAATGTGGGTGAGGAGGGGTGAACACTAATGGATGCCGTCAGTTAGCAGCGTCGACTCCCCTGTCCTGCTCCGTTCACATGTCAGATGGGACAGAAGGAAGAGAATGCGCGGTTTCCCTTCAGTCGTAAGCAATTAGGCTCATTTTGAGCTTCCCTCCCCCGCCTCACGCGGACCAAGCGGCGTACTCTACTGCTTCCCTCTATCCCAAGGTGGTACACACAGCAAATGGGCGTCACCTCAACATTCAACGCGCTGGAACAAACCGAGACAAACCAGTGCAATTTATCCTAATTCTGGAAGCGAGTGTCTGTGTCTGTAATTGTGATAAATACCACCTGCACACACTACCTGTCCATCAGGAAATCGTGTGCACCCCTAATACATATTAATGGCACTAGTCATGGGAAAAAATAATTAATTACTTAAGGTGGCTACTTTGTTAATTGTGTGGTTTGAGTCGCAGACAGTGGAGGCCTCGTCAAACGAGTTAATGGTGTCAACTGCATGGGTGTACTCAACTAGTACCATTACCTATTGCCAATTCAATGCAAGAATCGGTTAAGGTAACCCGTGTGATATAAAATGATTCCGAGTTTCTTAAACATAAGCTTAGTTGTAATTTCAAATTGGAGTGTAAAATGGCAGTAGAGGTACGTTGTTATAAAAAAAGAGTTGTGAGGTATGCAAAATTCCTTAAAGGCACTTGATTTGTTCGGGAATTTGTATCGCCAATCTACTGAAAAGTAGCCCTGCGCTTTTGAAATGTTTGGCCAATATGGCGTCAAGAAATTATTGTTGTTTCATAAACAGGGCCAAAATTTCACCGTACCAACATAAACTCATCAGATGGACTCACATTTGCGAGCACTGTGTTGCTCTCTGGATCAAACCAATTTAAATCAACATCTTCTACTAGCAAATAAATACAGCATATAAATCACCAGAACTCAAATATTGAGTGCTTCATAATAAGATCAAATCAGTTGTAAAAACACTACTTTTATTTTATGATGATAAAAAGCTGCAAATCTTTATGCCACACTTATAAGTAACGTTAAAGTTTGTGCTTAATGCTCCAAGGGACAGCATTAAAAGCATGCTTAATGTGATGATTGAAGTTTACCTCGTTCCCAATGATACATTCATTTCCGGCTTAGGCCTACCAAAGAACACGCTAACCTCGAAAGTGTCTGTGCATTAAAGATGAAAATACCTAATGGTTGAGCTAGTGGATAGCTCTGGCAAATTTGGAAAAGATTAAAGGGGGTGGGGTAAAGACGAGAGTGAAGCTATCTAATTAATCTCTAAGTCTCACCTAGACTGGGGCATTTTGCAGTGGAATTGTAGCAATAGCAATTTGGCCTTTTTCGGTTCCGTCAGTGCCCATTCTGATTGCAGACAAAAACGAAGTTGCAAAACTCTCAGTTATGGTTTTAAACTGCTTGAATACACTCGACCACGAATTTTATTTCGACGCATACTGCCGACTTAGATTACTCGGTGGGTTGGTCTTCAATACAAGTTGGCCCTTTGCTAGATTGCTCACTTTTCTTGAAGAATAGACCGCTTATGTTTCTGAACGAATAGGAAGACATCGGTGATGGATTTTCGATAATAGCTAAATTCATTTCTTTAAGTGGGTGGGCGATCGGCAGGCATTAGACTAAAGGTTATTTGCTTCCGTTACTACCCACCTACCTGGCGACGAAAGTGGACTACCGTTCTTTAGCAGGAAGACCAGTGTGTTAATGGCGATCAGAGCGGGGGAAGAGGGCACATTGGCGCCAAGTGGCTGTAGTGATGCCATCTTTATCTCTCATTGGGGAGGGGAGAAGTCAATTAGGTGGCGCCAACAACTGCGTCTACTGCTAACTGATAGACAATTTGGAGGAGCAAGGAGGACTGAGGTGGAGGGGTGGGACCCAAGGGGGCCAGTGAGCTCCCTCCGTAAAAGGGAAATGATTCTGCCCTCTTGATAACCACGCGCATGCGTTCATCCGCTCACGTTTTTCACTTCAAACATGCATGGACGCGCTTGTACATCCGCGCGCATGTCGACTAGATGCGACAACGCAAGGGGACACACACAGGCTAATTAGCGCGAGCGGGCAGAATAGGTATAAGTGAGCTCTTCTAAGGCAGTCTTGAAAGCTTTGGCTCCTACCTCAAAAAGAAGGAAGTTTTTCTGTGCTCAAGAGGTAAAAATTATTTGAGGGCTAACTTTCCTGCAATTTCCTTAATTCGTGGGGATGGACCATTTAGCTAATGTATGGTTAAATTTTTAAAGTAGCTGAACAACTCCTTACCTGTGAATAACAATCAAACAGCACCAATTACGAGCTCAACTAAAAACCACAAAATATCGCGTGTACACCGGACCACAGAAGTTGGACGGTCTTTACAACACCCTGGTACAATTAAGCGTTTGAAAGGGAGGTAAAAGCCACCACTACATGGTCGCTCCACGAAATTATGATGCCATTTTGATAAAAAAAGGTACAGAATTGTATAAATTAATCAGGTTCAATTGTTTTTGACAACCAGGGAGGTGATTTGGTCCTGCAGCGCCTCATGGAAACAGCATTTCAATTTAAAGTTTTAGTCACCTTGGATTGGCCATATATTTCAAATCACAAGAAAAACTTCGTTGGGAACCTTGTTACAAACTCCACCGTTTTAGAAATAAGAAATGGTTAAATTACGCCTAATCTTACACATTTTAAGACTGAAATCGGTTAATGGTCCAGTTTTTGTCGCTATATGACTACGTAGCTTCAAGAGTCGTTCTGACGACTGGTTTCCTCCGATGTGGTTTAGGAGATATCAGGGCAACGTACACAACCTAATCTGAACATCAGCGATGTGTACTGAGTCGTAATGCTATTTTGTGCATTTTCGAAGTACGTGGGGATTAAAGTTCTTTAATTAATTACGTATTACTTTTGTCATATTGGGATACTTAAGTATTCTTCTGCGCATCGCTGTCACTTTGTGGTATGGTGCTGGCATTAGATACCAGTTAGAATTTTAGCGACATCGATCAATTATAGTCTTTGTCCTTTAAATACATTATGACTGTGCAAAGTCATATTTATTCCTCTTTCCCATACTGATCTACCAATAAGTAGATCATCAAATTGTACAAAAGTGCATCACAGATTACTGATTTATGACACCAATATCGTCCGGTTGTGTGCCGGTAACCATCCACGTCCTGTTGTGTGGACAAAGTTAAGAGGTAGATAATTTAACCATTGATCGCATAATCTGGCATTGATTATTTCTCAGAGGCCCCAAAACTGGCGACAGGAAAGTTGTTGACGAAGGTTTGGTTTGAGGCATTAATTTCCTTCAAATCCAAGATGCAATAAGAGAGACAGAGCCAAATTTACTTGATAAAGATCTCTTCGATATCTTGCTTAATGCTTGAATGATATTAAAGGTAGCCCAGACATGACCTAACCACAGATAAATATAGCACAATTGCATTGCCCTTGATCGATGTCGTATCGATACCGCAAGTAATTGTTCATATTTTGACAATGTGTTGCAAAACTGTGTAATACTTTGAAGCGGATTCTGTGTCAAGTCAGTGAACAGCGCTATAGACGACGCTAACATTTGTCCGATTCCTCTGAGCACGTGTCTCGCGTTTGGCTAGTCGTAAAAGCTGGAGTGACTGATACAGAAAATACACAAACTTCATCAAAATTGATTTTCCTGATCCGAATATTGTTTACTTGGGATGAATGCAGCCTCGCAAATTATAATATCAGAGAGGCAGACTCTAATCGCAGGTGACCACTTGAATGAAATCTAAACAAGCTATTCTGCCCCCATTCTCTCGAGAGAGCGTGAGTGTTAAATGCAAAAAAAATCGAAAGTGGAATCAGGCTTCGAGCCTTAAAAGTTGACTGAGAATTAGGCGTACATCTTGTGTCATTACGCTGAATCATCCAACTTCAAACGCCAGGTAACTTTCACACCAAAAGTAAATTTCCGCCACCGCGTCTTTGTTTTTGCATTCCTGATTTTAAAACGGGTCATTGTAAGTCTGACAATGAGTTTTAAGGCAAATTTATGCCTATTTGAGCTGGTGTGTGACATCTCAGTATCAAATGAAAAACTACAAACGATGGTACATTTGCCTGACTTACCAATTAAACAAATAATCATTTTTTGTTTCGTTTGTTTGAGAAGTGAAGGAAAATGGCTTTTCTTTGAATGACTTGGTTTACATACATTCACCCATCAAACACATCCAATCAACTTCCAGGTAATAATACGTTAAAGTAATGGGATCACTCTGTTTGATGTCGGTCATTTCGTTTTTCAGGTAACTTGTCAGATCTGTACTTTTAAAGTAGGGAAATTTTATTAACATAGTAGCTAATATACGAAGTAGATTTTCATCCACCTCGGTTTCAACTACAAATTGAGATACAAGCTCAAGAGTATCGATTTTTTATCGGCAATCTGAATGAAGTTTGTAATTCCAAAGTACTTGAAATAAGAGTCATACAGTTTTAATTAACACATCTTTCTCCACAAGTTTAGAG